AACTAAATGTCAACTGAGAAGATATGTTCGCACCTTCCAACTTTCTTTGAACAGAGACATGTATTTGATCCAGCTGGGAGAAGTAAGGCGTAGGAAGGCTTGATGTTCTTGAGATCAGGCCTGTGAAATAGGTACCTCTCTAATTCCATGAAAGCTCGACATGGTGGAATATGTTTTTACTTTTTACTTCAATTCTTTGACATAAATCACAGCATTTCCCCTCTCTCCCCCCAAGGTGTTTCTGTGGCATTCACGTCACCTGATCTGTGATATGGCCAGACATGTATGTGACGATACCTGCCCAAATGTCAAATGTTCAGAACAGCATCATCTTTCCATCCCCAGAGAATCACCTTGACAACATCTTGCAGAGTGACCTACACGTATTCGCTGTTATAAGTGCCTGGGGCACTTTAGAATTGGACAAAGGGAATGCTTAAAATGAGATACATTTGTTATCAGCAATTTAGTGGTAGTGAAGAACCCTTGTTCAAACACTGATGATGTTGAAAAAAGAATCTTAGTTGCTCATGAAGTGTACAGTGCTTTTGCGCTGCCATTTAAAAAAAAAAACTACAGGAAAATATGGACCGACATGGACAGTTGTGGTCCTTGTGCAGGTGCTTGTAAAGATCATGGACATATTGGTCTGCAAGTATTTTTCATGGAGTGCTTTTTCAAGCAAGACATAGTATATGCAGTATATAAATACAACCAGAGATAAATGAATGTAACATTTGAAGTATTTTGACTTAGATGAAATACAGTATTAATTACAATATTAAGTAGGTTCTTAAGTACAATTACAATATTAAGTAGGTTCTTAAGTACAATGTTAAATACAATATTAGTTACAGCATTAACTCAATTGATAATACAAAGTTCCGTACAGTTGATCTCAAGATATTGTAAGAAGAGACCCTCACAAAAGAGGGCATAATCCCTCACAATGGAGGGTATAGACAATCCTGCCAACAAGTGTGACAAGGCAGCTCAGTATACTTCAGTGCTTAGCACCGATTCCTTTGTCACTGGTAAACTGGTTGGGTAATTATGTCATGGCTGGACAACTAATGAAGGACTTCTTGCCAAGAAGCCTTGTCGATTGACCAAGTTCCTACTGGTACTGAAATGTTGAAATGTACACCAGGACTACCATGCTCCAGTTAATGTTTGCTATTGATACTGCTTCCAAGGACAGTCTTTATGGGACGCTGTAACAACGTACTAGAAATATTAACTGCAAGATACGTTTCTGGCTTCTCTGTTCTAAAGCAGCTGTTATACTTCTCACTGAGGTAAGAAGGTGTGATTCAATCATTTAGTGAAACAAACTTTGAGAAGCGGGAATCTTTTAATATCCAGAATTTTATGACAGTATAGAAAAGAAATGAAAGAGAAAGAAAATCATGATTACTTGTACTGCTTTGTGTTTGGTCTTTATTTAGTTTCCTGTCGTCATGTACTGGAAGAAGAATGAAATGTCAGATTTGTTTTCGTTTAATCCGTTTGTGTCAGGAATAACGATCTGAAGATACCGACATTTTGTTATCAGAACTAAATGAGAAAATCTCCTTTAGACATAATATGTAGTGGAGTTGTTTCAATTCTATCCAAGACTAGTATTCTTTATATGATGTGTCATTCTGTGGATTTCAAGATACCATTGAACTGTACTTCTGAACAATTTAGCTTTGTGTAACTAAAGAGCACTAATGTTGATATGAATATATTGCTAGTCATACGAGATACATTTAATCATAATGTATATCAAATGTGTGAAAGGCATTGCCGATATGTATTAAGGCCACAAGTTGTGATGGTTCTTCCAGTCTTTGAGGATTGCTTGATGATTATCTTATAAGACTTCTCATTGTGAAGCCGATAAATGTATGTATAGCATGACCAATATGAATAGTTATCTGTAATTCAGAGAGGGTCGTGTTTAGCTTTGTATGGTTCATATATTTCCATTGCTTAAGCTGCAAAGAGAGAATATGATTGTCAGTACGATGACCTTTGTGTACTATTTGCAAGAAGGATATTGAGAGAGGAATATTGTAGTGTGCTGGCGCTATACTTGGCAGTGATTACTGGAATCGGTCAAGTGTTATCACAGTACAATATTGGACCCCATGGTGATGCCACAATTAATGACGTCTTTAATGTACCGTTACCTCAATCGCCTTGAATTTATTACAGGGCTCTTCAGCTGAGAACCGTTGAATGTCAGAGGTGAACTGTGGGTAATGGTGCCGAGATTGAGAAGTGAACGATAAAAAACCTTCGACATTGAGTATTCATCAGTGTTAGTTGGCGGAAGAATATCTCAATGTAATCCGTCAACACACTAGTTTTACCTTTTTCCTTTTCATGATCTTAAACTGAAATATTCCTTGATTGAAATTCAGTTAGTAATGTATCGATGTGTCATTCATATCTAAACAAAATGTGTTATTTAATTAGTGACAGTGAACTGAATGTAAACTGTTTCTAAATTGGCAGTAAAAATTAAATTAGTTGAGTTTAAAGAAACCTATGTTATTTTATGCTCACAATAAAATACAAAAATACATTTAAAATACAAATGTTTATTTATATGAAGTTAATGCCATACATCTTAACAGAGTTGTAGTGGGCTAAATAATAAACATAATCATAATTATCATAATAGTAACTCGCCTCTTTAATATATTGTCCCTTCTCCTCGTCTGAGGACATTTCTGCAGTGGCATCTGTCATGCACCTTGACCGCTGCCACAAACAGAGTAAGTGATTATATTAGTTTCATATTTTTTTCAAATACAAAACAACTAAAGCTAAGGTTTTGTTTAAGTTTCGTATAATAACTACAGTTTATTAGAACCTCCTGCCAGACACATGGTCAGACAATAATCAATAATTGAGATATCAATATTTATTACATACCCATGTAAACTTAGGATAGTCATACAGGGGTGCAATATGGATGACCTCAAATTCTGTATTGAACCCCAGATTCCATATTGAACCCCAGCTGGTTCTATATTGCTATGCTATTATTTGTTTTATTCAGTAACAGATTAATGCAAGATAAGAGGGTATATAATAAATATAGAACGTGATACTAGTGCATTTGGATGTTTTATATTGAACTCGAAGATGTCATGGCGAACTCGTTTCTCTGCTCCCATTACATGTTCTTGTTCAATACAAAACATCTAAATGTACTAGTGTGACGTTCTATATATGTATCAACTCATCTATATATGTCTTTAAATTGACATGATGTACCAAGCAATCTGTATATGAAGTAACTTTGACAAGATACATTATCCAGTCTGTATGTGACACAACCTTATCAGTACCAACTCACCTCCAGGTGGACATGACTTAAGAGGGTTCAAATCATGATATATATAAAGTGCAATGCAGTCACATTGAATTCTTTCCTGCAGTATGAACCTACATGTTGGGAGTCTTTCCTTGAACCTCTGGATGTTCCACAATGCGGTCAACTAAACACATATGGTGTTGATGTTTTCTCCTCGTATGAATTGTTAATCAGTTTCCCAGCTTGTCATTGATTGGTGTTGTATGTCCGTGATGAAGGTGTTGTGCCAGGAGCTGTTTTCTGGTCTATTTAACACCATTGTGTTGTAATCATCCATCTCACCTTCCGTAATGTACTTTAAGAGTCTGAATAAATATGTTTTTGTAGAAAATATAATTATTTTGGATGCATTCCTGATGCATAACACACATGAATATTTTGACATCTGCTCTTGACACATAACCGTCTAAAATTCTTGTGAATAAATTGCCTCTGTTACATCATTACCATAATCCAGTATTCTGACTGTCAGCAAATTGTAAACTGTCAGCAAATTGTAAACAGCTTTTAGATTTTGAACAAAACTCTTCTGAACCGTCAGTAGGAAGAAATTAGTTGTGTGGATAATATTATTCATTTGACACAGTTGATGCACACTCTGAATTTGTTCTTGTAATAGATGTAAAGACATCACATCCATGCAAACAAAGTGATTTTTTCATGCAAATTTAATGGATGTTTGAAGTATTTTTAGGTTTGCTATACAAAGGAGTAAACAGTTAATGTGTGTGTGTTACCATGACAAGCTATGATTATTTGTCAACGTCACATTTAATTAAGCTTCATCTTGTGCACATTTTCTTGATTAATGTCCCATGAGACAGCAGGCAAAATAAAAATATATTTCTTGTCAGGGTTGATTTAGAGTTAATTTCCCCAAACAAAATCTTGAAATGGAACTTCTAAGAAAATGCAAAAAAATGAAAGAAGTCTATGGAACAAAACTGTTTATATTTAATTTTTATAAATTGTGAAGCTTGTCCATTAAACAAGATTGAATTAATCCTACCTTAGGTGAAAAAAAGTTCAGTTTCAATTAACTATGCAATGAATGGTAGTAAAAGGAAGATAGTATCTGGAAGACCACACACACGATCTCATACATTGCAAACCATGAAGCTAGAGACATAGAGAGCTTTGTGGCCAAATATACAAAGTATGCTATCTATCATCAACCACATGAGGATACTGGGGAAGGTTGCTGTCTGTCTTCTCCATATTTGTCTGTGTATATATAGGAAATAAATGTATCGGCTGAGAGTTGGATTCCCTACATGGGCTATATGTGTGGGGTCCCAGCAATCATGTTGCTGGAATAAGAGCATCAGCAACTCATACTCTCAGGTGTGACAACCAAAAGCTGTTTTTGAATGGTCATGTTTGACACAACCATCATGTCTTCCAATGACAGCCATATTGTCTTTGAATGTTTTGCTATGATTTGCTTTAAACACAGCCATCATGTCTTCCCCATACGGCCATATTGTCTTTGAATGTTATGTTGTGATTTGCTTTTGAAACTGCCATCTTGTCTTCCCCAGACAGCCATATTATCTTTGAATGTTATGTTGTGCTTTCCTGACGGTATATCATTGTTTCTTATCTTGCTTTTATTCTCTGTTTTCAGAGTTCCTCAGTAGGTTATGAGAGTGCCATCATAGGAGAGGCGCATGGTTTGATCAACGACATGTTGGCGGACACCAACTTGCCACCCCATGTGGTGAGCGGCCTGCGCGTGGTCGCCAGCCTCCTGAAGCCGCCAGAGAGTCATTCGGGGATCCACAAGCCAAAAGTCAGCCCCCTGGTGTCTCTCACAGAGTCCACATCATATGGCTCCGACAGCGAGGAAAGTCCGTATACAGGGGAACGGCCATCATCATTGCCAAAGGTGGATATTATAAAGATTGTTTCAAACTTATACTTGTCTGAAAAATATCATTGATGTATTGATGCATTTCTTATGAGGCTATGGGGAGATTTCCAAAAAGGAATAATATAGGTTGCCTGCACCCTATGCATGTCATAAGAGGTGGGGTGATGTGAAATACTGTTCAAACTGACTTTATTACTCGACCCATGAAGGTCCCGGTTAGAATGATCCTTCAGTAACCCATGCTTGTCGAAAGAGGCGACTAACAGGATCGGGTGGTCAGGCTCGCTGACTTGGCTGCCACATGTCATCGGTTCCCAATTGCGCAGATTGATGCTGATGCTGTTGATCACTGGATTGTCTGGTCCAGACTCGATTATTTACAGACCGCCACCATATAGCTGGAATATTGCTGAGTGCGGCGTAAAACTAAACTCACTCACTCACTCACTCACTTCATGATCACTTACCTACTGACAGTTGTGGTTGTTTACACATCTCAAAGTTCACACAAATGTTTTGGTTTCTTTCAGGATGTTGCAAAAATGTTAAACAACAGCCATTTTAAAAAATATTCCTTTTTGTCTGTTCATTCACCTAGACTTGCACAAGTCTCTCAGCTAATACTTCAAAGTTTAAATGAAAGTTATTATCCCCCGCCGCGCGTTTAGCACGAAGCGGGGGATATAGTATTAGGCTCCATCCGGCTGGCCGGCCGTATGAATCGGAATATCTTAAGATCTGTTTGACTAGATTCTTTTCATATTTGGTACCTAGGTTCATCACAGTATAAGACAGGTCCCAGTCAGGTTTGGTGACCTTGACTTTTATTTCAAGGTTACAAGGGGACTTGAACGTTTTACTCTTGTCAGCGAGATATCTCAAGAACCGTTCACTAGATTTTCTTCATATTCATCTTCAAGCTTTATCTAGGGAAGACGCAGGGCCCGATTTTGGTGACCTTCACATAATTTTCAAGGTCACTGCGACACTTTGAAGATTTCAGCATGTTAACCTGCATTCACTGGATTTTCTTCATAGACTTTCAAGACTTCTCTTGAATGTTTTTCAATAAGCAATTTCTTTAGTTCCACATGACATTCATGTCAAGGTGAAGCCCATTTCTGGTGTCCCCCGCCGTGATGTTGCTGGAATATTGCTAAAAGTGGCGTAAAACCAAACTCAGTCAGTCAGTCAGTCAGTCATGTCAAGGTCAAAGTCAGTCTTGAAAATATTTGTGTGTTTGAACAACTAAAGAGCAAGATATCAAGAGAGGTTGACTGGTCATGTTTTTGTTGACATTTAACTTCATCTTAAACTTTCATTACTTTTTAAGTTTGATTTGATAATTTGTGGCGGGGGATTATGTCACCTTAGTGACAATGCTGGTTGAAAAATATAAATAACAGAGTGGCATCCTTCGATGTGTACTGTCCGCTTATCTAGACTTGCCTTTTTAAAGGATAGAATTACTATAAAATGGGCTTAGCATTCAGTAACCTTGGAAGGAGGTCACCTTGCATGGCAAGTAAGGATGACAATGAAAACTTAACATAGACACCGGAATGCTGTGACACTATGCATGCTACAACATGGAATCTATATCAACCTGCAATAACATATATACTTTGACAGGACTTGTTTCCTTTGGATAAATCTTGGAATATTATTAAATCACTTGTCAGGCAGAATTATGTTAAAAAACAATGAAAAAATCCACATCTTAGTAACAGAGCAAAATCATCAAAAATACACTCAAAATATTCTTCTCAAAGAAAAACCATTTGCTTCTAAATCGACAGTTTCTATGGTAATGGCAAACTAAAGACTAAGTTCAGCAGCTCTGACCCAGCACAACGTTACTCAGCATCATTTTCGAACAATTTTCAGCACAAACATGAGTATCAGGTGTCTGTTGGTGTTTGCTGGTAAATGGTGATAGGGTTGAGATCAGTCTTTAACAACCAGAAACATTCCAGAGCTCCTGACTTTCAACACATGGCATTTGTGACATAGAAAAGATGCCTACTTCAGTGGAGATCGGCTGTCATTACCACTAAACAAATGAGGTGAAGAGAAGGGAAGTTTGTGGAATCTTCTCACTGGAGTGCAACTAAGGCCAATCACGTTGAAGGAAACTGGTCTAAGAGCGGCAGCCATTTTGGAGTGGGTGACGTCTGCTTCACTAGAGCATTCCTTGAACAGGAAGTGACCTGAATTCTACATCATGCCCTGAATTTGTAACCAGTATTAACTTGGGCATCAATACTTACTTGTAATAGAAAGAGAAACACAAGACTTGGACCAGTTTCAATTAGCTTGTGTTTGTTTGAAGTCAGCTGGTGATCCACTGATTCATGTTTTGATGATAGATGATATTTAAACCTGTCCTGGATTGTTAAAGCTAAAATGTTCATGTACAAGATAGGATTTTGTGTCTCCAATAACCTTAGATAACCAAATATACACTAGCTGCTGAAATGGCACCAGCTGTGCTTTAATGATTCATATTTTTATTTAATATTATTTTACATATGTAAAGTGATTTTGTTGTTGTTGAAAAACTTAGATGATATAAACTAGAACTCTTTGTCACATTATTTGAAAAAGGATTTTCAATTGCAACGTTTAATGCATGTGTGGTAGATGACACCCCAAAGTGTCATGACATTGAATAAAGAGAACCCTTGTGATGTTCTGGGTTAGGACTGCAACCCATGATTGAAGTAAGAGGCAAATAAAAGTATCAGGAAGATTCACTGACTTACTTGATGCATGTCATCATATCCCAGGGCCAGTGGGGAAGCCTAGCAGGTTAAATCGTTCGCCTGCCATGCCAAAGACCCGAGCTCGATTCCCCACATGGGTACAATGTGTGAAGCCCATTTCTGGTGTCCCCCGCCGCGTTATTGCGGCGTAAAACCATATTCACTCACTCATTCATATCCCATATGTGTAGAATGATGCTCAGGATGTCAATCAACAAACCAACCAACAAACAGTAAAGTGGACTGATGAACCTGTATTTATATGAGAGTCTAATAGTTTCTCATATTAGACCCTTAATAAAAAATATCAGAAATTTTCAAGCAGGTCTACACTACTCTGAAACTGATGACAGTTGAACAAATCTTAAAAATAATCATTTCAGGTAGGGGTGGTCGGGTAGTCTAGTCTAGTGGTTCAACAATGTGCGCCCATTCTGGTCTCCCACCATTTGCTGGAATATTGCTGGAATATTGCTGAAGCTCCTCACTCACTCAGGTTTGATTCCCTACATGGGTACAATGTGTGAACTCCCATTTCTGGTGACTCCCACCTCGTTATTTGCTGGAATATTGCTGGAATATTGCTAAAAGCGTAAAGCTCAAACTCCACTCACTCACTCACTCACTCACTCACTCACTCACTCACTCACTCACTCACTCACTCACTCCTCACTCATTTCAGATACTTAATGTTAGTCTGTTGATCTAATGATCTGTTGCCTCTGAGGAAAGTTACAGTAAAATAGAGGTTTTATGGATGTGGTGACGTGTTTGTATTTTAACAAAGCAATGACCCAGCTATAGCCAACACATCAGTGTTATAATGCCACTGGTGTCAGCTGTGTCTGTGCTGTAGGTGGAATAATAAGCCAGATTTGGGGATACATCATGCATGCTGATACGTAAATGGAAGACAATGACTTATTGGTTTTCAGACTCGGCATTACTGTTGGAAATTTTTCATTATGAACTTCTGGGCACTTGGTCTTGGAGATTCAGCTAGCCAGGCATCAATTTCAAACAGAAATGATCTTGACTGGAAAATGTGTAATATTACAGTGTGAAAGAAACAGTATAAGTATTGATTACTCCTTTCTTAGGAAGAGTGATTTGTTGTGTGTACAAGAGGCATTAGTGAGTGACCTTATCCCTGAACCTCTGTAATGATTGAGTTATGTCCCTTTGCATTAAGGATCTAGTGGTTTGGGTTTAAATCTCAAATTACCATTAAAGCCAGAACAATAGCTGTGCTCATAGGTTTCTTGATCTTGGCTAGGCATAGTCTTCAGTAACTCATGCTTGTTGTACGAGGCGACAAACAGGATCAGGTGGTCAGGTTCGCTGACTTGGTTGACACATGTCATCGGTTCCCAATTGCGTAGATCGATGCTTTTGCTGGATTGTCTGGTCCAGCCTCGATTATGTACAGTTCACCACCATATAGCTGGAATATTGCTGTGTGCAACAAACAACAAACCAAGCAATCATAGGTTTTCCATAGTGGTAATATCTTTAATAAGCGCCAACACATTATTACCCCTGATAACCCAAGCAGCCACTGAGGAGCTAAAAGGTTAACAGTCATATGACTTATACCACCAGGTACCCATTCACTTGGCTGGCTAGTTATATTTATGTGATTGTTCACAGGCCATCATGTAGGAATATTGTAAACCACAATTTATCCCATGGTCTTTACTCTCTCGTCCATTTTGTTGTTGACATCATCTCAGTTCCAACCTTTCTCTGTTGCAGCGTCTGCGTCGCAGTTTGCCTCCCAGTTTGATCCGGCGAATGTCAACCAGCACGTGGACGACAACAACATCAGCAACCGGCATGCCGACCCTGGAACCAGAACCCTGCCGTATACGTAGTGCAAGTTTCCGCCACTCACGAGAAGGAACGCCCGGCTCCAGCCCTAATGGTAGTCGTAGCAACAGCCCCTCACCAAGTTCAAACACAACCGTAGTGCTGACAATACCAAAGTCTCGGTCCTTTTCTTTGGCCTCAGCTCCAACATCACAGTCTCACCCTCGTACTCGCTTCATGCGAAGAAGCATGGTTAGCACAACGTCAGATAGCGCCACCAGCCCCACCAAGGTGGACAGTAAAGGATTATCTCCCCTTGTAAAGTCTGACGTGCAAGATGATGGAGACAGGGGGGAAGGTCAGTGCCCTGTCTAAAGAACTTCAGTGCTCTGCGTTTAGCAAGCGGTTTAACATCACATCGGACTATGAGAGCAGTGACTCCCCTAGCAGTAGCGACCACAGTGACAACGTGGGAACCAATGAAGAGCTTGTGGGATCACCACCAAAGAAAGTATGTATGACTTTGTTACTATGTGGGCATAAACTTCGTTTAGATTCAACTTCTTCATACTCTACTGTCCCCTCCCACAATAAGAATGCTGTAATATTGCAACAACAAAAAATCCTGTTTATTCGTTTTGAAATTTTATAGGTTTCTATTTAAGTTATCTGATAATCATAATCGTGTTGATATTATCACAATATTGCTAATATATACTACTCAAACAAGTTAGAGAATAACTCATGACATGGACTTACTAAGAATTCTGTGTTCTTCAATATCACTTGAGCAGTATATATTACATGTGTTATATTGTATCTGTATATGTTACCCACAATGGTTGTAAGTCTTTTTGACCCGTGAAGGTCCGGATTAGAATGAACCTTCAGTAACCCATGTTTGTCATACGAGGCGACTAACAGGATCGTGTGGTTAGGCTCGCTGGCTTGATTGACACATGGCATCGGTTCCCAATTGTGCAGGTCGATGGTCATGCTGTTGATCACTGGATTGTCTGCTCCAGACTCGATTATATCCAGACCGCCGCCATTGTGCGGCATAAAACTCACTCACTCACTCACTCATTTAAGTCTTTTTGTGGATTCTGTTTTGGAATTAGTCCCCAGCAACTATAGTCCTGTTTCAAGAGGTGATTTGATCAATCAATGTTTGATTAACTTTGGGTGATAGGGTGTCATCAGGCACTGATGTTGCTTACAATATCAATCTCGTAATGCTTGTCATAAGATCCGACTAGCAGGATCGGGAGGTCAGACTCGCTGACACATGTCATCGTATCCCAATCGATGCTCATGTTGTTGATCACTGGATTGGGTGTTCCAGACTCATTAATTTTCAGACTGCCTCTATAGAGCTGGAATATAGCTGAGTGTAGCGTAAAACTAAACTCACTCACTCCCTTTCACACCTCTTTGTGTGGATTATGCTTGCTTTAAGAGGAAACAAAATGAATGGGTGACCTGCATCAGTGTCTTGGTTGATTGCATGTCAATCACTGGATTGTCTGGTCCAGACATGATTCTTTACTGACCATTGTCTTATGGCTAGAATATTGCTGAGTACACCATGAATAGGTGGGTGGGTGTTCACACGTATGCACTCACACATACACACGCCCACACACACTCTTCGATGAAAAGGCTGAATATTGTTGACAATGACGTAAAATGTGACGGTATTCACATCCCCAAAACGACTCGTGTTTTAACTTTGAGCTTTGTTTACACATCCTCACAGACAGTGGTCATTATATTTTGCAAAATTCAAAGGAATTGATAATAAGATACTTCTTCCTTGATCATCAACTATGCTAGTTTCAGGTCAGAAACTGTTTATTTTCAGAATTATTAATCTTGCCGGTGGTTCGGATAGCATCCCTGTCCTGAGTTACTTGATTCTGTGTGTGTACATATAATCATGCTTCAGAAGGTTGTATCATGTCAGCTGGGGTGATAAAAACTTCTATCTCAAGGGGTTGAATCTAAAAAACTTGTTTACATCAAACTGATGCTGAGACAACTTACCCTTTTATTGTAGATGAATCACTTTCCCTTTTCATCATTTGCTAGTCTAGCCCATGTGTAAAAGATAATTCTTAAAACACTTTATCTCTGGTGTTAGGTCTTGACATGATCAGACAACATAAATATTTCAACTTTGAAATAGTCTTCCAGTATCTGGTATGGGTTCAGAGGCCCCCTATCTCCTATGAATACCAGGCTCTGTGAATGTTTCATTCTTGAGGAACAGGAAATCTTGTCTTCACCACAGGACCAGGAATTTAGCCTTGTTACACGACCAGGAATTTAGCCTTGTTACACTTGTTGGCACCACAGGACCAGGAATTTAGCCTTGTTACACTTGTTGGCACCACAGGACCAGGAATTTAGCCTTGTTACACTTGTTGGCACCACAGGACCAGGAATTTAGCCTTGGCACCAGAGAACCAGGAACTTGGCCTTGTCACTTGTTGGCACCACAGGACCAGGAATTTAGCCTTGTTACACTTGTTGGCACCACAGGACCAGGAATTTAGCCTTGTTACACTTGTTGGCACCACAGGACCAGGAATTTAGCCTTGTTACACTTGTTGGCACCACCAGGAATTTAGCCTTGTTACACTTGTTGGCACCACAGGACCAGGAATTTAGCCTTGTTACACTTAGCCTTGTTACACTTGTTGCCTTGCACTTGTTGGCACCACAGGACCAGGAATTTAGCCTTGTTACACTTGTTGGCACCACAGGACCAGGAATTTAGCCTTGTTACACTTGTTGTTTTAGCCTTGTTACACCACAGGACCAGGAATTTAGCCTTGTTACACTTGTTGGCACCACAGGAATTTAGCCAGGATCCTGGCCTGGTTCACTTGTTGGCACCACAGGACCAGACATCAAGGAACCAGGACACTTTTACCAGGCAACAAAGAACCACTGGGAGCTTGACCTGGTTACACTTGGCAACAAGGGTTATTATCCAGTTGTCTTTAAAAACCGATGACCAGGATCTTGGCCTGGTTCTCCTTGGTGACCGGGACCAAGTCTACTTGAACTCTGTATCAACAAGGGATGAGGGCCCATTTCATGAAGCTATTCTAGCGCTAGTGTTGTACCTCCTATACTGTAACATAGGCTAACAACAGTCGTAGTGCTACGATAGCTTTGTGAAACGGGGCCCAGTGCCCATTCAACAAAGCAATCTTAGCAGTAGGGTGACTTAACCTCCCATACTATAACATTGGCTTAGATCCTGGCCCTGCCACACTTGACAGACCGTCTTCATTTCTTGGACTGTTTTTGTTCAGAATATTTTAACCCAAGTCTCTTCCATTCAATCAGTATCCAACATCGGTCTGTCTGTACCAGATAAGAACCAGGTGAACAGAAACACATATTTAGGTTCAGCATATTTTACCCAAGTCTCCCACCCCTCCATTCAATCAGTATCCAACATCGGTCTGTCTGTACCAGATAAGAACCAGGTGAACAGAAGCACATATTTAGGTTCAGCATATTTTAACCCAAGTCTCCCACCCCTCCATTCAATCAGTATCCAACATCGGTCTGTCTGTACCAGATAAGAACCAGGTGAACAGAAGCACATATTTAAGTTCAGCATATTTTAACCCAAGTCTCCCACCCCTCCATTCAATCAGTATCCAACATCGGTCTGTCTATACCAGATAAGAACCAGGTGAACAGAAGCACATATTTAAGTTCAGCATATTTTAACCCAAGTCTCCCACCCCTCCATTCAATCAGTATCCAACATCGGTCTGCTTGTACCAGACAAGAACCAGGTGAATAATAGCATGTACAGACCATATACCTGTCCCACCATGTATTGACATATTAAAACTGTGATCTGTTAACAGCAGGAGGTGTTGAGGAGTCCGGGAGAGACGAAGACAGAAGAGAGGGTTCCGGATCCCGAGGGAAGCACAGCTGTAGAAGCACCAGAGGAAGATAAATCTCAAGTAGATGGCAGCACTGAAAATAAACTTTTATTTGACCCCTCTGAAGTGGAGGAGGCTCCTCTTTTACAAATTAGTCGATTAAATGATTGGGATTTCCCTGTGTTTGATCTGGCTGACAGTGCGGCAGAGTTTGTTCTTAGTAAGGTGAGTAATCAATCATCCTTGATGAGATATGTGTTAAATTAACTTTTTACCAGTGGTGAGGTTAAAAAACCTGAAGGCTCCTTACAGTGTTAATAGTTTTTCCATCTGAGTGAGCATTGAGAACAAGTAGCTAGCATGCTGATCTTTGTGAACAAAAACTTGAGTATTTTTCACAATTGAAAAAAATATTCTGGATGTGAAAATTTACTGTTTTAATTATGACATTGTCATATCCATACCATATTTCTTTGGATATTTATCAGGACATGTTTTTGTTGTATATAAAGAAGGAGTGGCTTGAAAACTCCAAACATTATCTATGAGACAATTCTGACTGACAATCTTTGATCAAATAGATGTATTGATATTTCTGTTGAAGACCTTTAATGTTAACAGACACATTTTTCAAGTCTTAAACCAATCTTGCAAGATTCCCCTCAGCTATTTCCTCAGGTCATAATGTTTTGCTAACCCATGAAGAAGTCCGGGTTAGAATTGATCTTCAGCATCCAATGCTTGTTGTAAGGGGCGACTAACAGGATCGGGTGGTCAGGCTCGCTGGCAAGGTTGACACATGTCATCGGTTCCCAATTGCATATCAATGCTCATGCTGTTGATCACTGTTGTCTGGTCCAGACTCGATTATTTACAGACCACCGCCATATAGCTGGAATATTGCTGAGTGCGGTGTAAAACTAATCTCACTGACCCACCCTTCTTGCATTGGCTGACAATCCCCTGCAAACTGGACAGCAATGACTTTGTTACTATATAAGTGTACTTGGTCAAACTGACCCTTTCAGCTCACGTTTGAGCATTTCTGTCCCTTGTGTTAGTGTATGCAATGTTTGAGTACATATACAACTGCATTTCAAGGTCTAGTGAATATCATCATATTTGCAAAAACACATTGATATCTGAAAACACATACGATTGATCTTGCAAAGTGGGCGACATCTTGCAGGTATGCCATATATTCATCTGGGTTATAAATGTCAATAACTGATTCAGAATATTGGTATACCACTGGTTTGATAATAACAGTTTGAACATCTTTGCTAATCTTTTATATACTACTCAAAACAGGTTAAGGACCATCTTACTGTAGTTAGTTTGTCATATAAATCATGGCTAGTTTTTGTCGTTTTCCGATTTAAGTATGCAAATAAACACATCGTGTACAAACAGGTTGAGCACAAATCCATAGGGCATTTCTGATTAATTATTGAGAAATGCCACAGAAAAGTGTGCAAAGGTTCTGTAAGAGACCAAACGATATTTGCTGGAAATTGGCCATTATAATATTTACCACAGGGCATTGTCTCTTGACGTGATCTTTGATCTTTTCACCCATATGATTACAGAAATACTGAAGTGTAAGTTAATTAGATAATTTCCCCATAGTTTCACAGCAACACTTTAGATTCCTTTTTGAGCTGTTTTGTTCAAGTTCTTCTTTGATTCAGAATCAAGTAGGAAATAACAGCTTTTGAATGTTATATTTCTGATTCGATTGAAATTATAAAATGTGACTGATGCCTTTATTCTTGGCAGTGGGCTCAATCTTGTTATCTGTGTGTGTAGTGGAATGTCGTACAATGTACAAAAATACCTGATGGAAGTATCACAATTTTCATCAGTGATGAAGGAGTCATAATAGACTTGACACTAAATCCGTGAAAACATATCTTTAGAATGATTGTGGGCGGTGGGGTAGCCTAGTGGTTAAAGCGTTGGCTCGTCATGCGAGACCCGGGTTCGATTCCCCACATGGGCACAATGTGTGAAGCCCATTTCTGGTGTCCCCACTGTGATATTGCTGGAATATTGCTAAAAGCGGCGTAAAACTAACCTCAGTCAGTCAGTTAGAATGATTGTAATTTGTTTTTCAAAAGAACCTTTCATCCTCTGCTGTTTACATATCATTGAAGCTCGGCTTTGTTTAGTTTGATCGAGGGCTGTGGGTAGCCTTGTGGTTAAAGCGTTCCCTTGTCACTTCGAAGGCACAGGCTCGATTTCCCCATAGGATGAAACAATACTCAGTCTGTCAGTCCAAGGAATAAGTAAGTTTTATGCCGCTTTTAGCAATATTCCAGCAATATCACGGTGGGGGACACCAGAAATGGGCTTCACACAATATACCCATGTGAGGAAACGAACCCGGGTCTTCAGTGTGACGAGTGAACGCTTTAACCACTAGACTACCAAACCGTCCCTGAATGATGTTGATGTGGACTGTTAATCCTCTACCAGCTCATGGGAAGCTTGGGTGGTATACTCTTCTCTGGGAGTATGATATGTCTGTGTACGTGTATGATGTATCTATCTAAATGCCATAATCATGAATGCAGTGTTTAATCCTATTTTACCTCACCTTAAGGGCGGTTGGGTAGCCTGGTGGTTAAAGTGTTCGCTCATCACGCTGAAGGCCCGGGTTCTATTCCCTACGTAGGTACAATGTGTGAAGCCCATTTCTGGTGCCCCCTGCCTTGATATTGCTTGAATATTTCTAAAAGCGGCGTAAAACCATACTCAGTCAGTCAGTCCAAGGAATAAGGGAACAGTATTTGAAAATGCAGTTAACTCAAATTATAAGACATTGAAGGTGAGCTACGGTCCCCAGTGCAAAACACCATATTCAAGTGAACTACTGGCATCCAAGTCGGGCAACTGTCCCTCCACCCAGTATAAATATGACTGCCTTGATGGAAGCTAGAGAAGACAACCAAACAGTTGTACATGCACAAGCCAATGGTCTAAATATGGACTTGAGAGCTGATTGTCACAGAGGATATTTTCCTGGTAAATCCGGCCATCAATCTGAGAGATCCCAGCTCTAGTCTGATCAGTCTGTCGCCACCTCTACATTCATCCTGAGAGATGGCCTCAGTCACGCCACTGATGTTCATCTGGAATGCCAGGCATTTGAAAATTGCTCATTTAAAAAAAATAAGGCCTGCTCCTCGTCTGTGATTTGTGTCAGTGATGGGTGGATTTTCAGCCAAAGTGGCTTGTTTGGGAATGTTTTCTGTAATCCCTCAAGTTAGTTTTGGAACTTCGGCCAACTCCGACAATAATTGTTTCCGCTGGATGATTTGTCATTTTGTGTTTTGCGTGATGTTCAAGTGATCTGCATAGCCCACAGCATTACCTTGTCATAATATACGCTCTAATCGTCAGTGATGTCATGACTTCGGGGTATAGAATGGGGGCACAACTATTTGTGAATTTTCCCAATACTTTATTGTTTACATACAGATGACAATTGATTATATTGGTCCATGATCACTAGAAAAGTTGGTTGGTTGGTTGGTTGTTAATACCACACTCAGCAATATTCCAGCTATATGACATCAGTTTATGAATAATTCAGTCTGGACCAGACAATCCAGTGATCAACATCATGAGCATCGTTCTACACAATTGGGATACGATTGCATGTGTCGACCAAGTCAGCAAGCCTGACCACCTGATCCTGTTAGTCGGCTCTTACTGAAGACCAATTCTAACCTGGATCTTCACGGGTCCACTAGAAAAGCATTCCATAGCACAGCATCAGTAATTACTTGCCTTGATAAGTTTCATCAGTCAAATTCAGCAGTGGCACTTTTGAAGAATAACTGTGTCTGTCACACAGCCCCTGAACCATGTTCTTTCCAATTCCACTCAGCCCCATTAGACATCTATGAAGCAAGTCTAGATTTTCCGCAGGTTCTTAATCCCCCTGGATCTCCATTTAAATTTGAATGAAGTTGCTGGTTTGAGAAAAGTTCTTGATTTTCAGGGACTGAGTATTAGCCTGGTTCCTATGCTTATAATTGCTAGTGGGATAGGTGAGTGGTTACAGCAGTCACTTGCCCGAACTGGTTCAGTTCCTCACCCGGGTAGAAGATGTGATGTCTCTCTCTGGTACATGTAACATCAGTCACTTCAGATTCTATTATGTTTCTGTGTCTGTGAGTGCCTGTCTCTGCACCATTCATACAAAGACCGATCTGTTTTGTAAATACATTACACATAAGTATTTTGGTGAGATGATGTGAGTGTGGACTTAGAGGTAGATATATACCATCGTCAACAATACAGCGAGGTTGCCAATCCCCTTCTGACCGGCTGGATACATGGATCTGTTTAGATGGTAATCAAGAATCACCAGTATCGTATGCAAAATGAAAAAAAAATCAAGAAACTATAATTTAAACAGTAAAGATATAATGAGCTAGAATGAAATTTTTCTTTATATTGTACTTTTTCAGTATGTTTTTCATTTAACTTCAAATCACACCCTTTTATAACCAAGGCATGTATTCTGTACATGTGTGTCTGTGGCTCAGACTGCCTGCCTTTGTTGGGTGAATTCTGACATGTGCTTTTGAGATTTGTGTTTAGTTGTGTTCAGGAGACAGGGTGAGCACAGGCGATTCAGACTGAATAATTAGATGGTATTCACATATGAGGGGGCCCAATCACTATTGATGGGAGTTTACTATGGTGTTTAGTTTTGGAGTTGTGTTGACAATGGTTGGTGAAAGTCAGCAGCTGGGTCACCTGCTCCAGGTTTGTTAGTGTACAGTTTTATCCTTAGTCAATACTTCGCTAGTTCTGGATACGCCATGCTCTTCTATCAGCCATGAATACAGATGGCTACTTTGTGCTGTAGTAGCAAGTTTGGAGTAATGAAGGTTAGAGGACATGTTGTTGTTTTGAGGTCCAGTCAGAGCTGTTGTTGTCTTGCTGATTTCCTGCTTGCTTTGTCTTGATTTGTTGGTTAAGAATGCAGACTACACTACAATGCTGCTGTCTTTATTCATGGGTGAGAAATATAGACCTTGTCCATAACATTATAGTCAGCTATGATATAGTCCATAACATCACAGTCTGCTAAGATATGGTCCATAACATCACAGTCTGCTAAGATAGGGTCCATAACATCACAGTCTGCTAAGATATGGTCCATAACATCACAGCCTGCTAATATGTGGTCCATAAAATCACAGTCAGCTAAGATAGGGTCCATAACATCACAGTCTGCTAAGATATGGTCCATAACATCACAGTCTGCTAAGATATGGTACATAACATCACAGTTATGCTAAGATATGGTCCATAACATCACAGCCTGCTAAGATAGGGTCCATAACATCACAGTCTGCTAAGATATGGTCCATAACATCACAGTCTGCTAAGATATGGTCCATAACATCACAGTCATGCTAAGATATGGTCCATAACATCACAGTCTGCTAAGATAGGGTCCATAACATTACAGCCTGCTAAGATATGGTACATAACATCACAGTTATGCTAAGATATGGTCCATAACATCACAGTCTGCTAAGATGTGGTTCCTAATGCCATAGTATGCTATGGTCTATAACATCACAGTCTGCTAAGATATGTTCACATTTAACTTCAACTTTGGTCCATAACATCACAGTTTGCTATGCTATGATCTACAACATCATAGTCTTCAATGGCTCATAATAGTGTACTAAGATAAGGCCCTTAAGATCACAGGCAACTGAGACATGGTCCATAACATCACAGGCTGCTAAGATGTGATCCTTAACATCGGAAATGCCAGTCTGTTGGGATTCAGATGACAGATGGGTTCTCATTACTTTCCAGTAAACTAATCACTCAATCAACTGTAGTGGTGTGTCTGTTGTCAATATTTAAATAATTAGTCATTAACATGGGACTTTAAAGATTAAAATGTACGAGAGAAGTATCCAAGCTGCTATCAGACAGACTTTGTCAGCAGCCTGACCTACACAATACTGAAAGATGGTTGGTGGGCTGGAGGTGGATAATGGCCAGCTAATGTCATTATTTGAAGAACTGTGCGAGAGGGACATTAGGGCAGGTCTGAACTGGGAAAGCATCTAGATCCCAGGAACATGTTCTCCACATGCCATACATCTTCGGAGTGACTACTGATTATCTCCCCTGACTCGTATTTCCCCTAACATGGTCCGCCCCCTCGGGAAATACGTCCTATTTTGCTTTGAACAAGTTGACAGGAAGGGTACTGGTAGCAGGGCTTGATGAAAGGGGAATTAATTTTGAACTCTTTTGTGTCTTATAGCTTCATGAAGAAGTTGTTGTCCCTTGAGGTTATCCGAGCTCCTTGCATCTCACAGGCAGATACGTTGTCGTTGTCGTCGATGGGCTTAAGTTGATAAATGATTACTAGGCCTGTGGTATGGGTGCCTGTTGATATCTTGCTGGGGTTATTACACTGTGTTGGTTATTAATGATATTGATATGAAGTCAATATGTTTGAGGTGATTGTGTTCAATTGATATTTTTTTAACAATTTCTGGAATATAAATGCTGTTGGTTTTTCTAAGTGTGCTATAAATAGGGAAATGGAACAATGATGTGGAAAGAAATGTTCACAGCAAATTGAACTTGTTCTTTTACATATTTTTGCTTTGACAATTATTCTGTGGTAGGGTAGCCAAGTGGTTAAAGTGTTCGCTTGTCATGCTGAAGACCCGGGTTCGATTCCCCACATTATCATGCAATGTGTGAAGCCCATTTCTGGTGTCCCCCTCCATGATATTGCTGGAATATTGCTAGAAAACTAAACTCACTCACTCACTCCAATGGTGATATGTTGAAATATGAATTATGAAACAGCAAATGTCAAAATGTTCAATGTTTCAGGAACTATTTTATTTGTTTCAGGTTGCATATAAATTATTTATGGAAGTGGGTCTATTTGAAACATTCCCGGATACCTCTACCTGAGTTTATAAGTTATTTCCACGATCTGGAGCTGGGATATAGAATAAAACCATGTAAGTATACGCTCTTAATAATCCCTATACAATTATGTTGCATATATGTTCTTATTAATTTAACTATATTTTTCTTTGATTCCTTGGTTTTGCTTATTTAAAACTGATATTAAACATTTGTAGGTCTGCCATAATACACATATTGCAAGTGATTCCTTGGATTGAGTAACCATGGAAATAGTTTTTGTCATTATATTTCTGTTTCTGAGTTCTAAGCATGGAAACTAGAATGCTCTCTTTTATGTAAATGTGGAATTTAAACAGTGTGCGTGCTTGGGACTTTTCATACTGTTATAAAAGCGAAATTTATTGAAGTAAGTCATAAATTTTAAACTGGACATTAGCTTAGACGTCAAAATGTGGGCTGGAAACAGTGTTAAGACCTTGAAGATCCATGTTAAAAGTTGTTTTGTTGTATTTACCATGATACTGTGAAGATGCTGACTCGACAATAAAAGTCATTCATTAATCTGTGGGTAGACATGATGAATAGGTCATTGACTTGCATGACACGTTATATGAGCATCATGAAAGGAAAATGTGAATTTCGTGACAGTAGTCATTAGTCATCCAGAAATATAATGGGAAAGGGTAAGAAGATGTCAGCAGTCGTGTTAGAAAAACCCTCCGCCCCCACCATCGGTATAATCATGGCGACAGTGAAGTTATATATACATATCGAATGTAGGTGAAGTGGTGTTGACACATTTCTTATGTAGTTAGCAGGGCTATATGTAAGGTAATAGGCAAGATGAGCTGTGTCCCTGAATTACTGTCAGATCTGTCTGTGGTGGGTGTCGGGAATAGCTGGAGGACAAGCTACAGGTGCTCCTCCACCTTAGTAGGGGACACACATGGAGAGATGTACAGCAGGGTAGTTCTTGTTCCTTGTGGGGAGTGTGTGTGCGTGGGGGGTGGGTCGGTTCATGTGTACAGGCGTGGGTGGGTGGGTTGGTTCAGGTGGGTTTGTGTGAACATGCATGAGTGGGTCGGTTTGTGTGTGGATAGCTGGGGTTTAGGTGGGTTGGTGAGTGAGCGAGTGGGTGGGTTTGTGTGTGTAGGTGTGCATGCATGGGTGGGTGAGCGGGTGGGTTTGTGTGTGTGTGATGCGTGCATGGGTGGGTTAGTGAGTGGGTGGATGGGTTTTAGGTGGGTTGGTGAGTGAGCCGAGTGGGTGGGTTTGTGTGTGTGTGAATGCATGCATGGGTGGGTTAGTGAGTGGGTGGATGGGTTTAGGTGGGTTGGTGAGTGAGCCGAGTGGGTGGGTTTGTGTGTGTGTGTGAATGCATGCATGGGTGGGTTCGTGAGTGGGTGGATGGGTTTAAGGTGGGTTGGTGAGTGGCCGAGTTTGTGTGTGTGTGTGTGTCGTGCATGGGTGGGTGGGTGTGAGTGGGGGTTTGTGCATGCATAAGTGAGTGGAGGTGGGTTGGTGGGTGAGTGGCCAGGGGTGGGTTTGTGTGTGTATGTGCATGCATGCATGGGTGGAGTGAGTGGGGGTTTGTGTGTGCATGCATAAGTGAGTGAGTGGGTGGATGGGTTTTAGGTGGGTTGGTGAGTGAGCGAGTGAGTGGGCGGTTTGTGTGTGTTTGCATGTATGCATGGGTGGGTGCATGTGCTGGTTTGCATGAAGAAGGGGGTTAGGAGGGAGGGGCATGGCTAGAGACACAGGGCTAATTGTGGGGGGTTGGGGACTGGTTTGGGTAAGTGAGTGAGAGATAGATACCATGCTTTATATGGATGTGTGTACATTATATGTAAGAACATAATGATGCAGTTTTGATCTACCTCCTACTGATTTGTAATTAGTTTATTTAGGATAACTTGTGCGATATTGTCTTGACGCAGTGCAATTGAGGATTGTTTTATGTGTCATTTAAAGTGTTTCATCTTAATAACTTTGATCTGACGTATACATGAGATTGTGTGGGCAATAGTATTTATAATTGTGTTGATTGATTGTCTCATTGATTGTGATGATTGTGTTGTTAATATTTGTGATAATGGCTGCGTTTTTGGTGATGGTGCGTATGCAGTTAATTATGATTGGGTTGATTGTTTTGATCATGTGATGATGATGATGTTGACTATGATCAACACAATGACCATCACAATCAACAACGTAATATTTACATTGTTACTATGACATGTTATATTTCAGATCACAATCGTGTTCACGCGACGGACGTGTTGCACGGGGTGTACTATCTGACGACTCAGCCCATTCCGGGCTTCACGCAGGTGACAACAGGAGATATTCTGTCTCGCCACGGGTCATCAAGTGAGTCAGGTATCATTGTAAGCATGGCCGTCTGCTTAGTCAGTAGTGCTACCTGTAGCGGCCATTTTCTTTTCCTTCTTAACATTTCTCCATGTTCCCCTCTATAATCCTGTTTAGGATAACATATGACGTGTTAGGTAGTGTTCCTATAACAGTCCACATGGGTACAATGAGTGAAGCCCATTTCTGGTGTCCCCCGCCGTGATATTGCTGGAATATTGCTAAAAGCGGGGTAAAACCAAACTCAGTCAGTCAGTCCTATAAGAGTACCTAGAATGTGTCGTTGAAAGAAATCAATCTGCTTTGTATTCATGTTGTGTGGACAGATATGTATATGTATCTTGTAAAATTATAAGTTGTATGCTTCTCTCGAGGGTAATATGGTCTGATGTATGCCTCTTTGTAGCAGTGTCACCCATGCCGGTAGGCGAAGGATGACACTGCTACAAAAAGGCGTACATCAGACCGTATTACCCGAGGGAGAAGCATACAACGTATTTATCTTACCACCATGTTAAATGTACAAAATATCATTTTATTTTATTTTGAAGATCGCTACTGACTATATGACATGTAAACAAAATGGCGTCTGCCCCACATGAGCACAATGTGTGGAGCCCATTTCTGGTGTCCCCGTGGTGATAGTGCTGGAATATTTGTAAAAGCGGCGTAAAACTAAACTCACTCACTCACTGGTTCAGGCTTGATTCTGATCCAGCCTCCTTCATATACCTGGAACATTCACTCACTCACTCACTCACTAACTGCAAATGGCACCTCAAACTAATTCTTTCTATCTTGTATTCAGTAGTCTGTAGAAAATAATGCTGACAAATATTTTCTGTAGTCTTGTTCCAGTTGTAATGAATATATATGCAGTGTCCTAGATTAGATATAAAAATCATGGAGTCCTTCTTAATGTTTCTTTATGTTACAAATGAGGAAAGTCATGTTTAAAATGATATTTTCTGTTAAATGAAATTGAAAAGAATAACATAATATATTTTTATGAGCAGGTTTTTCCTTTCATATTTTTCAAACTACTTTGTTTTCATTTGTGATGAGAAAAGAGAGACAAAAAAATCTTTTCAAATTGAATTTGATTCAACATTTCTCAAATTTGTGATTATCAGATCTAAGTAATTCGAAAACAGTTCATATATCCAAATATTCTGGATAAATTCTCACAGATTCTGGGAACTCTATAATTTCTAACACTGTAGATGAATCACATGGTCAAAGGACCCGGTAAAACATAACCCCGTTCTGTTTCAGAATCCGACAACTGTGATCGCACTGGTATTATTCATCGGCAGAGTTTTGCTGCTGAAGACAGTTATGGCATAATGGGTGGAAACTTCCCGGCTCTGGAGCTGATGGCCATGTACACTGCCGCCGCCATGCACGACTATGATCACCCCGGACGCACTAACGCTTTCCTTGTAGCCACAAATGCACCACAGGTATGGCTAATAGATATAGGTTGATGTAAGTGTTGAGGGGAACAGTAAGCTGGGCGTTTTAGTGGCCTTGATCTTCCAGAGGGACTCTCTGTCATCAAAGGTACAGAGTTGTTCCCCTTGGGTACAGCAGAATCCTGTGATTGAAGGAATGAATCCTGGTTCACTACAGTTATGTTTCCAAGTTCATCAGCACCATATCCACCCGTGAAGGTCCAGGTTAGAATGAACCTTCAGTAACCCATGCTTGTCGTAAGAGGCGACTGACAGGATCGGGTGGTCAGGCTCGCTGACTTGGTTGACACATGTCATCGGTTCCCAATTTGCGCAGATCAATGCTCATGCTGTTGATCACTGGATTGTCTGGTCCAGACTTGATTATTTACAGACCGCTGCCATATAGCTGGAATATTGCTGAGTGCTGTGTATAACTAAACTCACTCACTCACTCAGCACCATATCTCTGACTGAAACCTGTATGGCCTTGGCATTCTTGACATTCATTTAGCTGAAACTGAGACATAACCGTAAAATATGTCAAAACAATGTTAACCTAAACTCTCACTCACTCACTCACTCACTTTAACTCACTCACAGACTTACAAACCAATTCACAAAAACCCATTTGCTCACTCACTCAAACCTACTCATCACCCAAACCCCATCACTCACTCACTCACTCGCACACACACACACTCTCACTCACTCATTCATCACCCAAACCCGATCACTCACTATCACCTGCCCACTCTCTCACATATTTCTTTCTCAAAAATGTACTGTACTGTACAATGACTGTTCGTCCACTCACTCACTCACTCACTGTTTGTGTCCCCAGGCTGTACTGTACAATGACTGTTCATCCACTCACTCACTCACTGTTTGTGTCCCCAGGCTGTACTGTACAATGACTGTTCGTCCACTCACTGACTCACTGTTTGTGTCCCCAGGCTGTACTGTACAATGACTGTTCGTCCACTCACTCACTCACTGTTTGTGTCCCCAGGCTGTACTGTACAATGACTGTTCGTCCACTCACTCACTCACTGTTTGTGTCCCCAGGCTGTACTGTACAATGACTGTTTGTCCACTCACTCACTCTCTGTTTGTGTCCCCAGGCTGTACTGTACAATGACTGTTCGTCCACTCACTCACTCACTGTTTGTATCCCCAGGCTGTACTGTACAATGACTGTTCGTCCACTCACTCACTCACTGTTTGTATCCCCAGGCTGTACTGTACAATGACTGTTCGTCCACTCACTCACTCACTGTTTGTGTCCCCAGGCTGTACTGTACAATGACTGTTGGTCCACTCACTCACTCTCTGTTTGTGTCCCCAGGCTGTACTGTACAATGACTGTTCGTCCACTCTCACTCACTGTTTGTGTCCCCAGGCTGTACTGTACAATGACTGTTGGTCCACTCACTCACTCTCTGTTTGTGTCCCCAGGCTGTACTGTACAATGACTGTTCGTCCACTCACTCACTCACTGTTTGTATCCCCAGGCTGTACTGTACAATGACTGTTCGTCCACTCACTCACTCACTGTTTGTATCCCCAGGCTGTTCTGTACAATGACTGTTCGTCCACTCACTCACTCACTGTTTGTGTCCCCAGGCTGTACTGTACAATGACTGTTCGTCCACTCACTGACTCACTGTTTGTGTCCCCAGGCTGTACTGTACAATGACCGCTCTGTGTTAGAGAACCATCACGCAGCATCAGCGTGGAGGTTAATTCTGACAAAACCACAGAACCACTTCCTGTCTGGACTGGATGCTGCCGAGTTCAAGCGCTTCCGCTTCCTGGTGATAGAGGCCATCCTGGCAACCGATCTCAAACGCCACTTCGAGATACTCGCAGAGTTCAACACCAAGGTAGTGAATGTGATCCAGCATTAGCTCAAGGAAAGGGCAGCCCGTGGCGTCATTGACAACTGGCTACTTTCCATGATATTGATAGGTTGTTTTGTAATACGATAAGTCCACAACTAAATACAGGCTTAAATTATGCTAAATTGTTACTCCAGTCAGTGAATCAGTGTGTGCTCAATGTTTCATGCTCAACTCCCTGGGGAGAATACCGGCCAAGTGATATGCTAAAAGGTTAACAATCACATTAGAAACAAATCGTACCATGCACCCATGCCATTCATGGCAGGTGCCATTTCACAGTTTAAAAAATCATTTTTATTATAAATAAAAATTAAAATAAATTTTAAACTGGAGACATTAAAGATATCTGAGTTCTCGTACAGACATTGTAACAAATCTTCGTGAATCTTAACAGGAGATAACAATACTTTTGCCAGCCAAGAAATTTGAAATGTCTGTGTGCCTGTCTATTACATGATAAAGGATAGTTAAAGGAAAATAGTCGTAAACTTAGACTTCATATGACCAGAGACCATATAATAATAATAATATGCACTGTTGAGAATATTAGTATATATGAGCATAAATTAACAAGTTTAATTCTTACGTTTGCAAAATACGTGAAATCAATGACTGAAGTGAGTGAACAAGATTTTCGCCAGCTTCGGATAGGCTGCACAGTACAGGCCGTACCACTGATGGTTTTGCGCATTGGCTCTAGGGATGTCCCTCTATTATGTGGTCTTTGATGTGACTTGCACTTACAGTGGTCAGTTGTTTGTCCTGAAACTGTGCTGACCTCTGTTGCAGGTTAATGACGAGGATGCAAGTGGCATTGATTGGACTCAGGAGACTGACCGGCTGTTGGTGATGCAGATGGTCATCAAGCTGGCCGACATCAATGGTCCAGCCAAGAAGAGGGACCTCCACATGAGGTGGACGATGAGTATAGCTGAAGAGTTCTATGAACAGGTGGGTGAACGTCCTGGGCCCCGTTCCTCAAAGCGATCGTAGCGCTACGACTGTCGTAAGTCTATGTTAAAGTATGGGAGTTACGATCACCTTAGCGCTACGATCGCTTTGAGGAACGGGGCCCTGAATAGCTGTGCTTGCATTTCTAGCCATGTAGCCAAGGGACTGCCACATTAGGGTAGTGGATAGAGTCTGGGCCTGGAAAGGGGAAGGTCTGTGGTTCAATAGTTCAGTTCCAAGGCATACCAACAGATGTTCAAAGATGGCACTTAATAACGCTAAAACGCCTCCGTGGTGTAATGGTTACAGCGTCCGTCCGGAGAGTAGAAGGTTGTGGGTTCAATGCCCAGCTGCATCATACCAAAAGAAGTTAAAATATGGTACTTGTTGGTCTCTGTCTGGGTCTCGGCATTAATGGGTACAACAAGGACTGGTCGGCTCGGAGTCAGTATAATGTGTCAGAGTGGGGTATTCATGCTTCACTGTGGCATGGTATCTCAGTGAGCTGGCACTATATGATCGGCTTAAGTCTGGGCTAGTACAAGCAGCCGCACATACACACGCCACATCATCATATGAGAGAAATATTCTCAAGTGCGATGTTAAACCCCATTTCACCTCACCTCACCTCAATATCACATGCCTTGGGTATAAACCAGGACTGGTCAGCTTTCAATCAATGTATCATATATCGCCACATGTAAAGTGTCCCCATGGGTGACCCCCACTATATAAACCTTCAGATTCGATGCTACTTTGTATACCCCGTCTATATAGTGACCCTGAATGAAAAACATCGTCAGTGCATACACAATACCTATGCTTGCAATAAAAACATATTTGTCTTCTGTTTTAATATATGGTGGTCTTGTATGACTTGAGCACATAGTGCCATGGTATGTTTTGACATGGTGGCAATAAGAAAATCCATTCATTTTAAGGACTGGAGTGATTCAATTTCCTGTAATTTAACTGCCACGTATCTCAGTTTACTAGATTTAGTTTGGTTAGACTGACAGTATGTTTACATTACAAGAAGCCATCAGGGGGCAAAACAGAGGGGATGGGGGTGCATGCACGTTGCTAAATTAAACAGATTGATTGCTTACTATAGATCGACATGGTTCAAGGGAGATAACCATGACTAGGCTTTACTCACAATGTCACCGTAGCATGCAAGGGCAGATTCAGCTTTGTTTCAGAATGGGTTCATATGTAGTGGTATCACTGGCATAAACTTGTAGATTTGAGTAAGATATTTATATTGATCTTCTTTCCCCTTCTTTGTGTCTGGGTGAGGTGAGGTGAGGTGAGGTGAAATTGGGTTTTACGTCGTGCTTGAGAATATTTCGCTCATATGACGACGTGCATGCATGTGTATGTGTATGTGCGGCTGCTTGTACTAGCCCAGGCTTAAACTGGTTTTATAGTGCTAGCCCACTGAGATACCATGCCGCAGTGAAGCATGAATACCCCACTCAGACACATTATACTGACTCCGAGCCGACCAGTCCTTGATGTACCCATTAATGCCGAGCGCCAGGCAGGGACCAACAAGTACCATATTTTAACTTCTTTTGGTATGACGCGGTCGGGGATCGAACCCGCGACCTTCCACTCTCCGGGCGGACACTCTAACCACTACACCACGGAGGCGGTCTCTTTGTGTCTGGAAGTGATATCTTCAGCGACCTACCATGTATTTGAAGAAATTTAAGTTAACAAAATTTTGAACAGTAGTTGACAGTCATATGGCAATAATAAACATTGTTGTGACTATAGGGAGATGAAGAAGCAAAGCTCGGGATGCCGATCTCCCCGTACATGGACAGGACAAACCCCCAACTAGCCAAGCTGCAGGAGACCTTCATCAACCACTTGGTGGCGCCACTGTGCAACGCCATGGTGATGGGGGGACTGCTGCCAGGCACATGGGTGGAGGAGGATAGCGATGGAGAGAGCCTGTCGGACACCGACAAGGGAGAGAGCACCTGTAAAGATACAGAGGATGAGACAGAGACCGACCAGGAGTCAGGTGAGTTGGAAAGACGTATACAGAACTCCATGCTTAGTCTGTGATGGGGATTATGGGTTAGAACTGGTCCCAGTAACACAGGCAGGTCATAAGAAGCGGTCCCAGTAACACAGGCAGGTCATAAGAAAGAAGCGGTCCCAGTAACACAGGCAGGTCATAAGAAGCGGTCCCAGTAACACAGGCAGGTCATAAGAAGCGGACATTGTTGATTCAGTCTTATCCTAAGCGACTTAGTGAATTGCTCATGATCATATCAATCACTGGATTGTCTGGTCCAGATTATTTACAAGATGTCATGATATAATTGGAAGATGGATGGGTGTGAGTTTAGAAATAAGAACCAAATATAGGATCTTTCAAGATTTAACAGGTACTTGTGTTATATTGAGATGGAATCCATGGGCTTTTTAAAAAATGCAAACTTTTTTCATGTTCAAAATTTGTTTTACCAGGTAGTTTGTTCCTCACGTGGAAATGTTAGCTTATGCTTATATTCTATGATATACAGCAGTTCAAAGCGTTTTGTGTCAAGACTAACTCAAGGTGTTGTGTCAGCAGAGAGTTGTGGTGTGTCGGGCTTACACAAGGCTTTGTGTTGCAGGTGGAGGGTTGGTAGTTCCAGCCAAGAGGAAGAAGACACGTAAAGTCAACTGCATCTTCACTAAGAACATGAAGGACAACTATGACTACTGGATGATAAAACTGAGGGAGGAGGAGGCCGAGAGGATGGCCAATGAGGTGGACATCAATCAGACTTCAATGCAGGTCAGTCCAGAACCCAGACCGGTGAAATATAGTTCCTCACACCTTGTTCCTCTTTTCAAGGGGAGGGGGAAATAGCCTAATGGTTAAAGCGTTTGCTCGTCACGCCGAAGGTCCGGGTTCGAATCCCCACATGGGTACAATGTGTGAAGCCCATTTCTGGTGTCCCCTGCCGTGATGTTGCTGGAATATTGCTAAAAGTGGCATAAAACCAAAACTCAGTCAGTCAGTCTTTTCAAGGGAAGGGGGAAATAGCCTAATGGTTAAAGCGTTTGCTCGTCACGCCGAAGGTCCGGGTTCGATCCCCACATGGGTATAATGTGTGAAGCCCATTTCTTGTGCCTCTGCCGTGATATTGCTGGAATATTGCTAAAAGTGGCATAAAACCAAACTCAGTAAGTTACCAAGGTGAGGGTAGAATAGGCCATTTGCATCCCAGTCTTGTTGTACAAGGTGCTTCAGTAGCGAACTGGTTTCTCTTGAGTATTTATTTTTTCATGATGAAAACTTGGACTTCACTTAAAATTAGGGAAGGGATTTCTATAGCAGAACCTCCAAACACTTAAAGAATATTGAAAAATACAGAACAGCATTATGTGTTTTAGCTGAACATGAGGCAGTTTCAATGAACCAAGCTAAACTCCATTCCTGAATTGCACCATACCAGAGGGACATGTCATCTCCTGATGACTGTGTTCTTTGTGCGTATATAACATTTCCTGCCTTTTCTTTTCAGCCTGATATGCTTAACGAGAAGTCTGAAATCAAGGAGATGGAATCAATCAAAGAGGAGTCGGAGTCGCCTCCCCCTACTGCCACCCTCCCTCAGACAGGAAAGACGTTCGATGAAACTAAGCAGAGTTCAGATAAAACTTGACAGCATTCATTCAGCTTCGAGGAATGCTAACAGTATCGACTGTCACTTCTTTGAAGGCAAAGGACTGATGAATGGCATCTTGTACTACCTTGGAGCAGTAATAGACTTGCCACAGACAATGGATGGGATAGTCCATTATGATAGTATGGGTATTTGGACTGAACATGAGGTTCAGTGAACGGGAATGTAAAAATGTTGACTTGAAATACAGGATTGTCCCATTTCAGGAAAAAATGCTGAACACCCCTCTTTACAATAGTGGACTCCAAGACACAGAAGGGAGAAAGTGTCTGTTGTCATGGAGACAGATCAGGCATGTCTACAGCCTGTGGAATCCAGGAATTTTATCTCTGTACAATTTGAACCCAATGTGTAGTCATGCTTGATCATGTGACAGATCATGTGATGGATCATGTGACTGAGATTTCGCCATTCTTACCTCAAACCAAATTTGGCATGTTGGGATCCCCATACTGATGCTGCTCAACTCATCTGACGACTTTCAAGTGAAAGTATTTTTGGAATAATGCCAACACCCATTTTTCAACTACCTAACCATGCCCGTGTAGCTCCTCCCAACGCCACGCTACTCAACCTGCACTGATGCTGATTCAGCCCCATCTTTGCTGCTTGACTAGGAGAAACTGACTGGAAATCATTTGAATTGACTATAGAGGTGCTAGATCCCAAGATTTGGTGTATCGGAATAAGTATGTACACATTGTCCCTGTATTTCCGAGGATGAGATGACTGTTCTGTGTATATATTGTTTGTATTTCTTCTAAAGTGTTGTGTACATATTCGTCTAACTCCTGTTAAACAAACACTTGGAATACTCAGCGTTTCCTTGTGCACGTTTTTATTTATATATGGAAAAAGATTTATGATGAATTTTTAACAAATGGTATATTTATTTTGGATCTGTCAGGCTTGGTGTCTTGTTGTCCTTGCTGGTATGAAGTCTGTGAGTCATCAGAACTAGCCTAGCAGAGTTGTTCCCCCTTGTTGAGTTATTTGCTACTGTGATAGATGAGTTACCTCCCCTTGATCTCATGCTTCTCAATCCATTGTGCCACAAAATTACCATCAATTTCATCATATTGCTTGCAAATTAGGGATGTAAATCAATAAAATAGAAGTCAATTGTTAATAAATCATTAAAATCTTCTTAACTATCCTCTCTCAGATGATGTGTAGAATAAAAAATAATGACCCAACAGATTAAGATCAAAACTAAAACCTATTCAAGTCGGAGTTCAAATCCTTGTCCAGTCTGATCAAGGGGAGGCAACCCAGTCCACCAACTCTGATCATATTCAAGTTTTGACTGTTAAGATTTCATATCCATGTTGAGAAATACCAAATAAAGGTTTAAAACGTATTGAATAATACTTTATCACAGAGTACACACTTTTAAAACAGGGTATGACTGATTTGATGTTTCATGTCTTAAATGTTATTCATTATCATAACTTTGGAGAATGGTTAAACAGAACTGTTTTGTTTTGAAAGTTATTAAAATGAAGCTAAGTTGTCCAGTATATTGGTTTGAAGGGTTTTGTTTATGTTCTTGCACTCAAGGCTTATTATTTAGAAGTTTTTTTCAGATTTAGATATATTTTCAAAATGGGAGGCATTGATACCATTTTTTAAGACTTCAGTATATTCAGTATATTTTCTACAGAAATTAGGTCCTTAGTCGGTGGTGATAATCCAGTGGGTATATTGATGTCAGTGTCTGTATTCCATGTATAAGAAATGATACTTCTCTATACAACAGGGCATACTGAGATGTTGACATCCATATAAACTGTGAAACAAATGCTACTAGAAAAAGTTTATGGCTATAGTTTAAACATCTTTCTTTTTTTATTGTTATCAAAATTTCTAGGATTATAAGCCTTGATGATCATGTGAAGTCCTTGCTGTGATACTAATATTGTCTCATTGGCCAAGAGTGATCGGAATAAAACTTGCTCTATTTTTGTAATGAACAGTGTAGGCACCAGGTAGTTGTCTCCCTTGCCACCATCATCAACTGAAACCATGGTATCCTCATGCTAACCTTAACCACCTGATGATGTGCTCTCGCAGCGACGTGAACGGCTGTTCAACTCCATTTCACCTCACCTCGCAACATTCAGCAACGGGTTCCTGCTTGTATGACAAAACAAATTCCCAGAGTCAGTGCTGTTGTGATCACAAACTTTAATGTACTGCTTAATTGTAAGGATGAGTGGTTCTGTGGACAGGGTTCCAGCTTTTTCTGGCATATCTCTGGGTTTGAGTCTGTGGTGACTCTGTTGATCATTGGCTGACAGTGGTGTATAATCTGACTGGTTTGTGTCCATCATTAAATATTATTGAACAAACTTGGAACACCTATGTCAGTGGGAAACTACCTCTAAACTGATACCCTCACAGGGTGGCTTAGTGGTTAAAGTGTTTACTTGGGTTCAGTTCCTGGATGATGTTCACTGTTCGGTCAATGTGTGCAGCAACTTAAACCCTCGTCAAAACGAACATCTTATACTGTTGATATGTAAGACAGGACCTATGAGGACGGAGGTGGTTTAGGTTAGAGAAAACAATAGCATAATTACTTTAATATTCTTGTATATTGTACATAGCATAACCAACAGTCGTCTCCCCTTTGTACACCACAGTCACCACTAGGACAGCCACCAATAGGCAGAGTACTGGTTATAATACGTGTATCAGGACTTGCTGTGCCATTTCAGCCAATGGGGAGTGACCTTTGGTATTCTGATGTTGGAGCATGGGATATTTGTGAAAGAAATATTTTGTTCCAGACTTATACTCATTAATTTATGAAGTGTTCATTGAACTAAGAACCCCTTAAAATATTAAAAAGTAGGGCCCATACTGTGTCACCCACTGTCTAAAGGTAAATACAGCCATTTCTTTTTAGGTTTGTCAAGTTACATGTTGAAATGGAATGGTTTCAGTGTCTGAGAACATTTGAAAGTTTCAAGTGGTAATGCATTCAAAATGCAGTTGTTGATGATGGATGTAGATAAATACATATATATACCTATTATATATCTATCTGTCTATATATAATGGTGTGAATGAAATGTGATGAACATGTGAAGGTATTGGGTGAGTTTCTGTCTCTGGTATTCATGGTCTTGCCATGATAATGCAATACCTCAGTACCATATTCTAATAAATACCTGTACACTGATGATGCTGTGGAACTTACCAAGAACATGGAAAGGTGTTCTCCCCTCGCCTCAAAGACATGCTGTTGAGATGTTGACTCTTCCGCTTACTTGCAGATTGGTTCGGGATAGTTCAGGTCATAATGAAATTTTGGTTACCAATTTTGCAGTTTGAAAAGTGTTATTTGGTTGGGGTAAAAGTAATTTTAATGTTGATATGATTCTGTTACAATATGCCCAGTTGGTGTGCTATCAGTAGTCGAGGTCAGTTGACTGTCATCACACCTGTTTTAGAGGTCACTTAAATAACACACCTGGGTGGTGCAAGGAAACTGATATATCACACCTGTGTGGTGCAATCTGACTGATATATCACACCTGTGTGGTGCAATCTGACTGATGTATCACACCTGTGTGGTGCAATCTGACTGAGGTATCACACCTGTGTGGTGCAATCTGACTGAGGTATCACACCTGTGTGGTGCAATCTGACTGAGGTATCACACCTGTGTGGTGCAATCTGACTGAGGTATCACACCTGTGTGGTGCAATCTGACTGAGGTATCACACCTGTGTGGTGCAATCTGACTGATATATCACACCTGTGTGGTGCAATCTGACTGATATATCACACCTGTGTGGTGCAATCTGACTGAGGTATCACACCTGTGTGGTGCAATCTGACTGAGGTATCACACCTGAATCTGACTATCACACCTGTGTGGTGCAATCTGACTGATATATCACACCTGTGTGGTGCAATCTGACTGATGTATCACACCTGTGTGGTGCAATCTGACTGAGGTATCACACCTGTGTGGTGCAATCTGACTGAGGTATCACACCTGTGTGGTGCAATCTGACTGAGGTATCACACCTGTGTGGTGCAATCTGACTGAAGTTATCACACCTGTGTGGTGCAATCTGACTGAGGTATCACACCTGTGTGGTGCAATCTGACTGATATATCACACCTGTGTGGTGCAATCTGACTGAGGTATCACACCTGTGTGGTGCAATCTAACTGAGGTATCACACCTGTGTGGTGCAATCAGAGGTATCACACCTGTGTGGTGCAATCTAACTGAGGTATCACACCTGTGTGGTGCAATCTGAGGTATCACACCTGTGTGGTGCAATCTAACAGGTATCACACCTGTGTGGTGCAATCTAACTGAGGTATCACACCTGTGTGGTGCAATCAGAGGTATCACACCTGTGTGGTGCAATCTAACTGAGGTATGACACCTGTGTGGTGCAATCTAACTGAGGTATCACACCTGTGTGGTGCAATCTAACAGGTATCACACCTGTGTGGTGCAATCTGACTGTGATATCACACCTGTGTTGTGCAATCAGAGGTATCACACCTGTGGGGTGCAATCTGAAGTATTACGCTTGTGTGGTGCACTCAGAGATATCACACCTGTGTTGTGCAATCAGAGATATCACACCTGTGTGGTGAAATCTGACTGAGGTATCACCTGTGTTGTACAAAGTCACTAAGGTTGCATACCTGTTCTTACCTGAGATCACAGAGGCATGACACCTGTGTTTTCTGAAGTCACTGTGGTATGGTATACTAGTATACTCCTTGCAGCTCCCTTGACCAGTGGTCTAGTCACTGTGATACTGTATACTAGCATACTCCTTGCAGCTCCCTTGACCCAGTGGTCTAGTCTGCCAGAACAGTCCATGGAAGCTGAAACAGTATTTACAAACATGCATTATATTCTTATAAACAGAAATGTGGAAAATCATTTGAAGTTAAACTAATAATGCTAATATTGCCATGGCAACACTTTGTTGTTTACGAGCAGTGGACAAGCTGTAGGATTGTAGGTCTCACATGCAGAAATTGATCAATCTTGTTTAGGATTATCATTGTCTTAGTATAGCCTCAAGTATCTGCTAGTGGTCTCTACTGTCTCGACTGGTAGTGCCAACTGGGGTAGTGCTTGAAGATTCTAGCAGATTGTACTGTGACCAATTTTCAAGTCACTATATCCTGTGAATAAAAACTTGAAAATTGGGGAGATCTTTTTCAGATTAATGTTACTCAAGAAATGTTAAAAAGATTGATTTTGGAATAATTAGGTTTCAAATTATGTGGGCTGTGTTATGGTACTCTTGTGCACATGATGAGATGGTTTGTATACTTGGTGTATTTTTTGACAAATACGTGGTGATTATGGGTGATTCTGATCATGGTAAGATACTGATGTATTTTGTATGGAGGCAGACATCTCGAGTATTATGTTGTTGATTTGTTAGTGCAAGGATTTTTTGTATTTTAGAAAGTGTAATTTATTAGACGTAGCTGTAGTTCTCCACAATTAGTATTACTTCAGTATACAAGAATAATTTGGAACCGTTAAAATGAAAATGGATTCTGTTTTTTCTCAATATTTTTGTATTCTGGTTTTAATTATGCTTATAGAATTAAAACTAGGTGGACATTAGCTTAAAAATTGATTGAGGTCTACATGAAATATTGTTTGTTTTATGCTTTTATCATTGATTTAGGCTGAATGAAAAGCATATGCTGGCAAGTGGTTCCCTGGCATTAAATTAGGATGAAAAACAAACACATTACACAAATGTAGAATTGGATGATGGATGCAGGCTTGACAAAGGTTATTAATATGCTGGTGAGGATGTTGGGGGCATCTCATTCTTGTAAAAGTCAACTCCTGAGGACTATCTTGTAGGCTCTGTGACATGGTTGTCATAGTGACCATCCGATTCTTTGTATGGTCCAGCCATGATTGTTTGCAGGAATATTGCCAAGTGCAGTGTTAGACATTCACTCACTCACTCTAGTCAGTGGCCTGTTGTAGCACTTACCAAAATGCTTTCTTAAGTGGCTATTAAGCTGTAGAGTGTTGTAGAATTTGCCAAAATGCTTTGTATCCCAAAAGGTAAAAGTTAATGAATTGTAGGATACCTTTTCTGACTAGAGTACAGATACGACATGCTGGTGATGAGCTGATGGACTTGGTGCATACCTGCTGCTGCTGCAGCTCCATCACCTGGTGCTGCCAACAATGTAACTTATAACTTGACTGAAAGACAGTATTAAACATAAATATGGGGAATTATACTGTTTAAACAAGTTAAGGAACACATCTCTCATATTGCAACCGTTAATATGACATGCTGATTGACTGTAGTGATAGAGAAGTTGTCTTTGACTCTATTTTAGTAGTAATATTAATTTGTAAAACTCCCACTTGGTAGATTCGGATGTTTACTGTTTTTCGTGGAAAACACTGAAGTGATGAATTGCATGGTCATTTGGTTGGCGTAACTCTCTTTTCTTGTCACAACTTAATTTTGGATATCAAACTGTGTGATGTGATACTGGCTTGATTGAAATAGATTTTGAAATCCCATTTTAATAATTAAAGTGATTAAGCTGTTTTTCATTTGACTGGCAGTGGGATGTTTTTTTATTACAAATAGACTCTGTGGTGTTTAGTCATCTGTCTCTTTTTTCAAAATGAAGAATCAAAGTTTCATACCGTTTTAACACATGTCAATGCACTAACCTTCTATTTTGACATATATTTTAGATACAAAACATCATCCATTTTAACTTTGAATTTCATTTGTAAACTCGCCATATTTAGAATCATCTTTTTATGTGTTGTCTTTTAGTTAGATAACGGATTGTCTTTGTTCAAGGGGAATAACTCTTGTTTTTCACCTAAGGGAAACACTTGACTTCAGTGAATGACTTTTAAGAATGCAAAATGTTCGGTGACCTGAAAATATGTTATTGCTAAGTGTTCCATCTGTTTTTATCATGCATTTTGTGTAACACGTGTATGGATTACTCGGTAGCTCTCGTACTGGGTGTCGCCCTATGATAGCTGCCAACACCCGGAACTACTCGGTAGCTCTCGTACTGGGTGTCGCCCTATGTTAGCTGCCAACACCCGGAACTCCCCAGCACCATGTAACATTTCTGTGCCCTGTTTGATTGTGTCACTAATACAAGTCTACAAGGTATGTATATTTAATGTTTGATTTGTTTTAACATTTCTGTATCGATGGGTGTACAATTCAGACCAACGTGTATCTTGTCAGTCCTTCTGACAAATGTTGCAATGCTCAAGACGATGACTGGACTACTATAGCACTGACTTGGTATGTAGGCTCTTCAGCCACAAGAGCTGGGAACCGTGTTTCCACAGCCAGATGAAGTCACTGCAATGTACTGTTTTCAAAGCTTACCAGTAAATGCTCAATAAAACATAGGAAGTGATGCTTTTGTTTTGTATTTATAAGTTCTAAATCTTCAGCAGGAAGATATTATTCTACTGCAAAGGGCTTTGCAATAATGCCGCACCCAGAACGATGTTTGTACTGTTGGAGTGAGTGAGTATGGTTTTACGCCGCTTTTAGCAATATTCCAGCAACATCACGGCGGGGACACCAGAAATGGGCTTCACACATTGTACCCATGTGGGGAATCGAACCCGGGCCTTCGGCGTGACGAGCGAACGCTTTAACCACTAGGCTACCCCACAGCCCTTGTACTGTTGAAAATCAGGACAGTTCAGGATGTACTGTTTGATTGAAGTGAATGAGTTGGCTGCTTTGATCTACATTCCTGCAAGATCGCCACCAGAAATGGTCTTTACACGTTGTACCCATTTTGGGAATCTCCAGCCTGACGATTTAACACTTTAGACACTTGCCTACTCCGACTGATTTAATTTGGTTGCTTGTGGCCAAGCAAGTAGCAGTGTCAGGTTCAGCGTTGATTTACAAATGTACATATATACAAAGACTTGGATCAATATGTACAGTACTATTAGGACCTGGACCTGGACCAGAATGTACAGAACAATCGAGTCACATCTTTGGACGTATATGTACAGAACTATGACTGACTGACTGAGTTTGATTTTACGCCGCTTTTAGCAATATTCCAGCTACATCGCGGCGGGGGAACACCAGAAATGGGCTTCACACATTGTACCCATGTGGGGATTCGAACCCGGATCTTCGGCGTGACGAGCCAACGCCTTAACCACTAGGCTACCCCACCGCCCCTACAGAACTATGGGTACACAGATATGAAACAATATGTACAGAACCATGGACGTATTACGTGTCTGAAAGTGTACTTTGTAAGCAGTCATGGTTCAGTCCACAACACAAGATGTAGCCTATATTTTGTGGGAATAACTTGTAACATGATAACATTAACTGTTTAATGTAAGAACTTATGCCACAAATAAGGCACATTTGTGGTTTAAGTCTTCCCAAACCATTTATCAGTAGAATAAACTTTTGGCTTGGTTCTAAACCCCAAGGAAGACTCCGTTCCTGTGGATTTCAAAGAGCCATGTACAGAGAGATGCGTTGCTTGTCCTAGAGTATTCACCACACATTCCTGCCTCAATGATTAACCACAGGCCCAAACACAATCGATCAAGGGTTTTCCATGTATTAATAAGACGTAATTAGACCTAATACAATGTGTCTTCTCAGAAATGCAAAGAATTTGCTTAAATTCTTGCAATCTCAGAAAGAAAAAAGTTCAATTCTGTCAAAACATACAATTTTTCAAGTTTATACACGATTATGCCAGACGACAAAGTGATGTGAAAACGTCAGCCCTTGCTCTCGGGGTGGTGACCGTATAGACTAGTGAGAAAAAGTAACTGTGATTCATGGAGTGGTGTAAATTTCGTGTTATTGAAATAACAGACACACCCCATCCCCCAACTCCCTAACCCCTTGCGTTGATTCTGCCAAGTTGCCAGATAACAGAAATATAATGAGGGATGTTCTTCTTCATGTCAATTGAAGATTATCTCAACAGAGCTTGCGTGGTTCTGGTCCTGTCGTAGGCTTCGGTCCATCTTGCCCCAGTCATGTTGTAAGGGGAAGAGATCATGAGAAATAATACGTGCAGCATGTTGGTGGGGGATACTGGTGCAAGTTTGCAAAACTAAGGCAGATGACGATCTCGAACTATGTCGTCCCAGTAGCTTACACCATTCCAATTGTCGCTAACAATGAGATGTGTTCTTCCTTCATTTGTGATCTCATTGTGCTGGAACATGCTCGTACAAATCGTGAATCGCGAAATGTAAAGTCTTGATTATTTCATATTAGAATAAATGCAATTGTATTTGTTTTATTGACCTTTAAATATTGATCACAGGTTACGGTTTCTGTTGGTATATATAGTTACATCCCTGTCTCCAGTCAAGACAATTTATCTATAGTATATAGGATATATGTATGTATCTTAGTTACACGTGCACTCACACGATATATTTATATATTCTTACAAGAATCTCATTTTCAAGTACATTCATAAACGCTTGAGATATTTTACGGCCGTTTCCTAAGATTTATGGAGGTGAGGTGAGGTGAAATTGGGTTTAACGTCGTACTTGAGAATATTTCGCTCATATGACGACGTGCATGCGCGTGTATGTGTATGTGCGGCTGCTTGTACTAGCCCAGACTTAAGCTGGTTTTATAGTGCTAGCCCACTAAGATACCATGCCGCAGTGAAGCATGAATACCCCACTCAGACACATTATACTGTCTCCGAGCCGACCAGTCCTTGTTGTACCCATTAATGCCGAGCGCCAGGCAGGGACCAACAAGTACCATATTTTAACGTCTTTTGGTATGACGTGGTCGGGGATCGAACCCGCGACCTTCCGCTCTCCGGGCGGACGCTCTAACCACTACACCACGGAGGCGGTCTAAGATTTATGGAGCATGTGTTTGTAAAATATACTCGTGAAATGTTCATTTTGGTATTGATTTGAAATAAGATGTGTTTTTTCGAAATAATGATATGCAGAGTATATAACGTTCTGAGGAAGACATGCCACTCAGTGTAAATTCTGTGCACAGTTTTGAGCGTCAACTGCAAATAGATTCTCAGTGTTTGTGTAAAATGACGAATGCTATCGTGAAATGCATACATATGCGTTGCGTTCTATCGCCCCTAGCTTCAGCACCCATTCTCTATCCAAGTGGGATACGATGACATGTGTCAACCAAGTCAGTGAGCCTGACCACCCGATCCCGTAGTCGCCTCTTACGACAAGTATGGGCTGCTGAAGACCAATCGTAACCCGGATCTTCACTGGTGTAAACTTACCGTGTACTGACTGAGTATATATTTGCACTATAATTACTATAAATATCACAAATTATAAAAAAACACATGGTAGTCGTCTTCAATGACACTTAATCACAGTATTTGCATATTGTAGGTTCATTGTGAAAAGTTCCCTTATAACACAGTAAATCATAAAAAACAATGAACAGACTCGGGTAAGGCTACTATCACCTTTTTAATATAAATATAACGTATATATGGTTTACACATAAGTTCTCTTTAAATCGTAATAAGCAATGAACGGAACTGGGATGTGGCTTTTCTTACCTTCGTAATATTGAAGGCGACTATGCTTGTCGTAAAGGCGACTAACGGGATCGGGCGGTCAGGCTCGCATGACTTGGTTGACACATGTCATCGGTTCCCAATTGTGCAGATCGATGCTCATGCTGTTGGTCACATGCTTGTCTGGTCCAGACTCGATTATTTACAGACCACCGCCATATAGCTGGAATATTGCTGAGTGCGGCGTAAAACTAAACTCACTCACTCACTCACTTAATATTGATATAACCTATATATAGTTCACACATGAAGTTTTCTTCAAAACAAAAAACAGAATGAGATGATTATCTGGATTATCTGAAATGCAGATTAACGCAGGGAGATAAACTCGCTCAACACACTCAACAGTAACAAAGCTATGGACAATTTTCATAGCACATATCTTCCTTGTGGGGTCTGTATCTTGTTACTGCTGGCACTTGTTTGGCCAGTTGTTCCGGCTGCCTGTTCCGATTGTAAACCTAAAACTATGTGTTGTTCCAGTATAGTTTATTGATTTTAGAACTTGTGTCGTCATTTAGTGATTTCAAAAGTCAGTTCTGTACGTACTAATTTCTGGATGTTTCAATTTGGAAATCACTTCGTAACAGTTGCATGTTTAGAATGCCAAACATTTCAGACAAGATATAACACCATATACAGACAACACACATTTCTTGTGCTTGTATGGGAGTGCCTGCTCACACTATTTGTAAAATAGTCATTCGATTTCACATGGAAACCGTAACACCCATTATCCAAACCATCACGTCACAGTTATGTAGTTTCTCCCTGGGGAGTATACGAAATATTATGTAATGAGATTAAAACTGACAATGCATGGCGTCTCATCACTTATATATGCTCATTTACTTCAAGTGGATTGGTAATTTGTGAAGAAGACAACATAACAGAATGTACTGATATGATTCGCAATACATGAGAAACGCTCAAATAACGTTGGCATTAAACATTGATCTGTGAATTCTTTGCTCTACACAGTTTCATATTCATGGACAATAGACCCGTTAGCATGTGCACGATCAGTCCGAGGTTGGTCATCAGTGAATGGCTTCAGGAGATGATGGACACATGATGCAGCCATGCAGTCCCCACACACGTTGACGACTGTTGCAGTCCGACTCCTGTAAATGTATATCAGTGTAAAATATTCTTGAATTATCTAGATTCTGTGTAAAATCTGTTGCAATCTGTTGCAATCCGACACCTGTAAATGTATATCGATGTAAACTAGTCTTTAAACATCAAGATTCTGTGTAAATACGTTGCAGTCCGACTCATGTAAAGGTATATAGGTGTAAAATATTCCTTAATTATCAAGATTCTATGTAATATCTTTTTGCACTCCAACTGTAGCAATCCTATTCCTGCAAATGTATTTCGATGTAAAATATGTTATAAGTTCTGTGTAAAATCTCACCAAACACCACACGTAAATTTACCGTAGTACACCAGTGAAGATCGGGTCGCTCTGTCTAATCGTGTGTCACCATGCTCTAGATCTTCAGCGGAGATCTTGTCACTCTGTCTAATCGTGTGTCACCATGCTGTAGACCTTCAGTGGAGACCAGGTCACTCTGTCTAATCGTGTGTCACCGTGCCCTAGACCTTCAATAGTGATCAGGTCACTTTGTCTAATCGTGTGTCACCATGCTCTAGACCTTCAATAGTGATCTGGTCACTCTGTCTAATCGTGTGTCACCATGCTCTAGACCTTCAATAGGGATCAGGTCACTCTGTCTAATCGTGTGTCACCATGCTCTAGACCTTCAATAGTGATCAGGTCACTCTGTCTAATCGTGTGTCACCATGCTCTAGACCTTCAATAGTGATCGGGTCACTGTCTAATCGTGTGTCACCATGCCCTAGACCTTCAATAGTGATCAGGTCACTTTGTCTAATCGTGTGTCACCATGCTCCTAGACCTTCAATAGTGATCAATAGTGATCTCCTGTCTAATCGTGGTCACTTCAATAGTGTCTCAAATCGTGTGTCACCATGCTCTAGACCTTCAATAATGATCTGGTCACTGTCTAATCTCACCATGCTCTAGACAATCGTGTGTCACCATGCTCTAGACCTTCAATAGTGATCAGGTCACTGTCTAATCGTGTGTCACCATGCTCCTAGACCTTCAATAGTGATCAGGTCACTGTCTAATCGTGTGTCACCATGCCCTAGACCTTCAATAATCAGGTCACTGTCTAATCGTGTGTCACCATGCTCTAGACCTTCAATAGTGATCAGGTCACTCTGTCTAATCGTGTGTCACCATGCTCTAGACCTTCAATAGTGATCAGGTCACTGTCTAATCGTGTGTCACCATGCCCTAGACCTTCAATAGTGATCAGGTCACTTTGTCTAATCGTGTGTCACCATGCCCTAGACCTTCAATAGTGATCAGGTCCACTGTCTAATCGTCTGTCACCATGCCCTTGACCTTCAATAGTGATCAGGCCACTGTCTAATCGTCTGTCACCATGCCCTTGACCTTCAATAGTGATCAGGTCACTCTGTCTAATCGTGTGTCACCATGCCCTAGACCTTCAATAGTGATCAGGCCACTGTCTAATCGTCTGTCACCATGCCCTTGACCTTCAGTAGTGATCAGGCCACTGTCTAATCGTCTGTAACCATGCCCTTGACTTCAATAGTGATCAGGTCACTCTGTCTAATCGTGCGACATCATTCCCCTTTGTTGTTGATCAATATGTCCAGCCGTCAGTTTGTCTGTTCCTGAATCAACCGTCCTGTAACAGGTCGAATAACGCTATGTACAGCTGCCTTAACAACAACAAACATTACTTACATGAACCAGTCGACGGCGAGGAGCAGGGGGATGTCGTGTGTGGGGAGACCGGCCGAGGTCAGTATCATGACCAGGGTCGGGATGCCGCTGCCGGGGACACCAGTAATCCCAATACTGGCCATGATGTTGAGGAGGCTGCAACAAACCAAGGTCATGTCCAGCTGCGATTACACCATAGATGTCTTATTGGTGCTACAGACTCCAGGTTCGCTGAATTGGTTGACACGTCATCGTTTCTAAATTGAGTACTAGATTGATTCCCGTGCTATTGATCACTGGATTGTCTGGTTCAAACTCCATTATTTACAGACTTCCCCTATATAGCTGGAATATTGCTGAGTGCGACGTAAAACAACAAATAAACAAAAAATGAAGGCCAAAAGGAGTGCCAAGGTTGAAGGCGGCTACAATGTAACTAACAACAAATAGTGCGGTATTACATTCTGGTTGTGTTTTGGACGTTCACAGTAGTAAATGGTATAACTTGCGGCAGTTGTCTGAGTGTTATCAGTCGACCATTGTACAACTGGACATTGAAGGTCAATGAAGACCTTAGCAGATCTGTCACCATAAGGATGAAATAGTGCCGTTCTCACTCACTTTGCACGTCTGTGAGATTTGTTTGTTTTTGTTTATATTCCAGCTATATGATGGCGATCTGAAAATAATCGAGCCAGGACCAGACAATCTAGTGACTGACATCAGGAGAATCGACCATTGAGAAACGTTTATAAGCATCAAAGTCAGCGAACCTGACCACCCGATCCCGTTGAAGACTAATTGTTACCGGATCTTCGGGGTAACATCTACAAGAGGAGGCAGTAGCCACATAAATGAATACACAGAATTTGGAATTTGTGAAGAACGTAAATGATCCTCAAGTCCATCAAATCCATATTGCTCTAATGCGATATTTCCAGTACTTAGTTGCCTCCCTTTGGCGTGCAAGGATCCTACTGTCGTAGGTTCATATATCAACAAATTTGCTGTAGTAATGATGTAATGAAAATGCTGTTCCAAGTTCCGTCAATCCGTGCGTTCTCTCATATTCATATTCTTACAATCCTTAATCAGAACAAATAGTAAAATAATGTCGTTGAATTAAAAGAAATAGCACGGTATAAGCAACAGGGTTCTTACCAAAGATTTAAGACGTCAGCAAACCCAAGATTTATACCGTTAAGTTGGGCAACATAAACGGCACTGATACAATTGATCATAGCGGATCCATCCATGTTGATGGTAGCACCAATAGGCAGAACGAAGCGGGTGATGGTCTTGTGGACCTTCAAGTTCTCCTCGCAGCAACGTATTGACACCGGCAGTGTAGCAGAGCTGTGGATACACCATTGTCAGTTATTTTTACTTTTTGGACGTTTTTTGCCGAACGAAATCTGTTTCGGGAAACAATCCAGTCTGGTTAGTTTCTGGCATTTCATGTTTTCAAGTATGTGAGCTCGAACTTAGTCAGTTATTCCGCCATTTCAATATGAATACACAGAGAACAATATATGACCATTTGAAATTTTGTCAATGTCTCATTAAAAACTGTCGGTTGTCTCGAAGTAAAAACTCGGTCTCTGTGTTTTCCTTATTAAATCATCTTTTTGTGGTTATGTCGAACCTTAGTTAACTGGAACCATTTACGTAGACCCCTTCGACACGACGGCGATTGAGTGTATTTATTTTTTCCATTTATTTTCTCATTTTCTATATTAGCTGTAACAAACGTTTGTATCGAGATCACGAAACTTCCATTTAAAACAGGGGCGGTGGGGTAGCCTAGTGGTTAAAGCGTTGGCTCGTCACGCCGAAGACCCGGGTTCGAATTCCCATATGGATACAATGTGTGAAGCCCATTTCTGGTGTCCCCCGCCGTGATGTTGCTGGAATATTGCTAAAAGCGGCGTAAAACCAAAACTCAGTCAGTCAGTCCATTTAAAACAACTTGTGTTTGTAATGATGGCTCAACGTTCCACGTACCTGGACTCCGTGGCTAGCGCTGTAACCAGGGCTTGTACAACTCCATGCAATACTCGGTAGGCGTTTCTCCGTGTGACTATAAAGTACACCAGCGGTACGACCAGGAACATGTGGATGATGGCACCTGCCAGACCAGTGACCATGTAGATCCCAAGATGACGCGCCGTCCCTGCCAGGTCCTGTACCTCCAGAATCTTTCCCAGGATGAGACATAAAATCCCAACTGGAGAAAACCTGAAACAGAGAACTCGACTTCGATGGACATATCGGAGACGTTTTACACACACGTGGAGAGCCAGGTTAGAAATGTTCTTCAGCAACCCATAAGCGTGCTGACTTGATATATGTATTTCATTGTATCCCTGTTGTGTAGAATATTGCTGAGTACGGCGTAAAAAAACAAACAAATAAACCTTCTGTTGTATTTGTTATTTTTAAGTCCAGATTTTTTATATCCAGAAAAGAGGAGCCACTAAAATGCATGTTACAGGGGTTCTTAACAGAGACCTATTCAGTTCACTGATATTGCATTGTTTTACAGTGCATGGACAGAATGCACGTCTTAAACATTTCAGTCGTTTCAATCACGACGCTTTGTAAGATTGATCTGACAGTTTTCACCTTTGACCACATCAAGTAAACTATTTACTTTTATTGCATATCAAAGCGACAAAAAGTTGTTCGAGAAGGAGACTGCAGCAATCCCTGTTTTGGGACGAAAAACCCACGTAAGAGGTTATATATACGAATCATTCTGAAGTGCGATGGGGTGTCAAGAGACCTAAATGCTAGTTCGAATCCCAAAAGGAGCGACCCACCTTGACATAGTTTCACACTCAGTACGTACGGGTCAGTTACTAATACTCCATCTCCATGAGCAAAGCGTAATATAAGAAGGTACCAAACAACTACGTACCACATCACAATGCTAACCATTTTCATCGTGACGTTATTGAGAGTGGTGAAGAAGCCGAGCATGTGTTTTCCGCTGTCACCAAGCCTGCCCAGTATCACTCCGAACACAGCACAGTACAGCAACATACCTGTAAACACCATTTGTTTTAACACATTGAAAGAAATTGGGTGTTGCAATGCATGATTCCGGTTTTTAATCATTCCACAATTTGCAATGGGGGAAGCACATTCGTGACCATCTGGTGTTATTCCGAGACAAGCCGAATAGCGACTCTTGGAGGTCATACGTCACCACTCGCCCATTTCCGTAACCAAGAACGCTTATCTCCCACTTTCTAGTGAGTAGAACAGGGTGAACCTGAAACAGGTTCGTTACTGAGAAGTTTGATTGAGGGTAAATAGAACAATGTTGTGATTGAATGATAAATGGCCCCATAAATTCGAAAGAACAAATCAACTGACAATACTTAAAGTCCAACTTGGATTTTTTTCCGGAAACGAAGCTCACCCCTCTCTTTTGAGACTATGTTCGAAACGTTTCCATGGAAACCAAGAAAAATAAAAATGACAAAAATCTGCAAATAGCAAAAGGCACCACTTCAAGATCTGTCTCATATCTCTGCCAAGTTCTGTTGAAGGATATTGAACGGTTTTCGAGTTGTGCTCCGGAAACGAAGCCCACCTCTCCCTTTTGAGACGAACTCCGAATCGTTTCCATAGAAACCAAGAAAAATAAAAATGCCAAAAATCTGTAAATAGCAAAAGGCACCACTTTAGGTTCTGTTTGATATATCTACTAAGTTGGTTGAAAAATATTGAACGTTTTATGAGTAATGCTCCGGAAACAAAATGATAACGGACGGACGAGGCGTCCAGTATATCCCCCCGCATTACATGGGATAATAGCTTCAGTTTGTTCCTGTATTTGTATTTGGACTATTGCAGTATAATGTGTAGGTAACAGGTAGTAGATGATCTGTTCACTGAACCGTAAATGTTGTTGTTTTAAGGTGTCTGCGAACTGGCTATCTGCGTAATGAGAGGACACCCCAAGAACGAGCTCCATGTGCTATTAGTGCCCATCATACAGTGAACAAACGAAGACACATCTAAAACCATACTATTTACAAAATCCAACGATGAACATACTAAAAGCTCTTCTTCAATCAACTGGAAAAACTACTTTGCAGAATGTGTGTTATATTCTTCTAAAGTCACACGCCTTATTGCAAAAAAAATCATAATTAAATCATGCTGTATATCTATTTCATGTGTATATAAATGTAATTTTGGTCAGTGGCCTTATACTGAAATAAAACCTGTCTGTCTGTCTGTCATATGTCCGATAAACAATTACCAGCTGATAATAAAGTACGGCAGCAAACCGAAACATGAGTCTCATTAACCTATTCAGACAATGACCTACTTTTCAGCCGATCCGAATTTTCTCGTGTAAAAGTGAAAAGAGACACCACAAGCAACTATGGTTACACTGAACTCCAATTTCTTGTTTCATAAGAAAATGGGTTTTTTTCAAGTTAATTTGAATTTTAAACTTTAATAACATCGTATTTCTATATTTTATGGCGAGGTGTAGGCAGCATGACCTTAACTAAGACGTCACACACTGCCCATGTGTGATGAGGTCGTAAAATTCATCTGGGTCTTGTTACACCTGTAATGTGTTCTTTGCGCTTATTCAGTGTAGTTTTGTAACGCACAGCGTGATTGGTATGATATCAAGTCCGTACCAGATCTTCAAACTTTTCTAGCGGCAGAGCCTCGTTTTGAGATTTCCACGATTTCCAGATTTCCGTTTGTCAGAGCACGCTGCACAACGTGTTTACAAGGATTAGAAGGAGCGTAGTGTTGCAATATACAAGTGCTTAGATGTATCAAATAATACTGATTAATATTTATGTATTCAGTTGAATGAATTGGTCTCATAATTCTGGACTGGTTATTGTACTAAGTTGCCCTATAGGACGGAACCCAGTCAGCAGTAAACGAGACTGTTGTGTAATCAATGTTTTGACTTGGAATATAATACGTAATGTTATTGCCCAAGGCATGTTATTGCCCAAGGCATGAAGTAAAATCAATTTAAATTTTGAATTTTTTTTGAAGCAGAACGTTATGTAGATTTGAAATTTAGATAATTAGAAAACTTATTGGGCCATGTTCAACACAGTTAGGATCATATCGTCATTTATCTTGACCCCACATACTCTGAGTTGTATATGTATATATATATATTTTGCAATGTTTTCAGGTCCCACAGACGTCCTACCAATCACCCACCAATGGCATTAAGACCAGGTTGGTAGGTGAGTTTTCCAACCCATTCTTCGTCATTTCTCATGTCTGTGGATGTGTTTAGAGTCTTGTTGGGTGACACAATCTCATTCTGCCTGGGACGAAGTTCGAAGACTGTGCGTGTTGACTGAATTGCTGCACGTACCATGTTGTCTGGAAACATGTTCCTGCAGAGAGAGTGTGAAAATATATAATATATAAAACATCAATGTAAAATGATAACTAATCTCGATCATCCGTCCAAACTAACGCACACACAGGACTCTCTTGATCTAGCTCTGTCAGTTCCCTATATTCTTAAAAAAATTTTTAAGTCCGTGGGCCATGTTCACAAAACGAACATGAGTGACAGTAATATTAATGGCGCTCTAGTTACGCCTGGACAATAATCACAGTCAGATAATTGTCACAATACAACTTACAACTTGGACACTACAGAAACAGTTTTCAAACAGGGATTAAACACTGACATAATTTATTTTGAATCTCTGATGCGTTGTCGCTGGTACGATCAGAGTTGCTCATATCTGTCTCCAATATCCACAGAAGCTTCTATTTCATAATCGTGCAACCACTTGCTCAAAGCACATATTGCGTGATACAATCTGCGTGTTCGTTAATATTGAACTGTCTGTATGTAAATAATGGAGACGGGGTCACACAATCGAGTGATTAACATCATGAGCATCTATCGACGCCAACAGCCATCATTTGTTGTCTATACAGAAATTCCGCTACAGGTCTCATGGTGGCAGAACCTTCTGAAAAGCTGCTCCAGTACAATAAGTCTGGCCCCGATTTCTCGAAACAAACTTAAGTTTTTACTCAAATTTCGAACTGAGTTTGACAAATTGAAACAGCTGAATTTTTAACTCAATTGTATTTTTGAAATAAAAAAGCCCATACAAACTTAAGTAATCTATCCACCAAGCTAAAATTGTCTACCGTGTTTGAGTTTAATATCGATTTCAGTTCATTCTGAGAAATGCATTTTCCTGTGTTTTCTCAAATCAGACTTAAGTTTGTTTCGAGAAATCGGGGCCTGGTTTGAACACGCACTTCTTCAGATAGGCATACAACTGAATACAATTAATTATTAATTACTTATTTATATGGAGCCTCTTTCCAGTCAATGAAAGTCTGCTCAAAGGCGTTTTTTATCAGAGCTGTTTTCTTCATTGACTGGAAGGAGGCTCTATAAAAATAACTAATGATTAATTGATAAATTAATTATTATTATTTCTCCCTCACCTTACTTACCTGACAAGATCCAGAACGACCTGCCCGGGGAAGGGGGAGTGTACGGGGTGGCAGGTGGTACGAAGGAGACTGCAGCACCCACCAGACCAGGCCTGATGGTGAACACCAGCAGCACACCAATCAACAGCGAGATCACGGTGGATGTAATGTAATAGCCCATGGTCAAAAGTCCCAGTTTCCCTGACGATTTGCTGTCCACATTTGCAATACCTGACAATCAGTATAGCGCTTGAAAAGTTCTCACTCTTTGTAAACTACTGTATATTTATGATGGAAATGCGATTAACCAAAAATAGTTTTGGCTAAGGATTCTTCATCAGCCAAAACACGTTATATCTCTTTCAAATGATGATGTTTTGAAAGTGTATACAAAACTCGAATGATAAATGAGACGTTACGGTTATAACCCTGTATGATGATGATGTATATAATGCCCCAAACGCACTAAGCCTATAGCTACTTATAGTGGAGTGACGTCGGGGTGTTGTATGGAAGTCATTAGGGGCGGTGCGGTAGCCTAGTGGTTAAAGCGTTCGCTCGTCACGCCGAAGACCCGGGTTCGGTTCCCCACATGGGTACAATGTGTGAAGCTCATTTCTGGTGTCCCCCGCCGTGATATTGCTGGAATATTGCTAAAAGCGGCGTAAACCCATACTCACTCACTCACTCACTGGAAGTTATCAAGCAGTTTCATGGTGGCCGTTTGTCGTTGTGAGCATAACCATGTGAACACTGGACACAAACTGGCCTTGCTCCTGGTTCAAGAGAATTACACTTCGAAAAGAAAACAACACACGCTGTTTTAACGAAAACATCCTTACAGAATTTACAAAATGAGTGTTGACATTTTCCATCGGGACCCACCTGTGATCGGGACACACCTGTGATCGGGACCCACCTGTGATCGGGACCCACCTGTGATCATACTTGCAACTATCAGGGGGAGAATCAGCGTCTTCAACATCCTCATGAATACCTCTCCGGGGAAGCCGAGGAGTTGGATGGTGTTTGGGGTGAGGTTAAGCTGACGACAGAACCCCCCGATGACACCTCCTAGAACCACCGACATGATGGTGGCCACCAGCAGGCCATTTGTTCGAAGACATCTGCACGCCATTACCTTGGGGGGAAAAAACAAACAAAAAAGCACGTTGGTGTATATATATATTTTTTTTTTTTAACGCCGCCCTCAGCAATATTTTAGATATATGGTCTGTAAATAATCGAGTCTGGCCACCCGATCCTGTTAGACGCCTCTTACGACAAAGATGGGTTGCTGAAGACCAATTGTAACCCGGATCTTCACAAGTCTGGGGTGTACATATGATCGATGCTAGATATAATGTGTAAACTGTTAAATACGTCAGTGGGGTAATCGTGTTTGTATCTCTGTCACAAATGAAGAAGAAGAAAAAAATAACAACAAAAACAAACAAACAAAAACGAAGTAAACACTTCAAAATTGGATTTGCTACTGGGATGAAAGATTCTAAACCAACAAGGGTAGCTGTATTAAGTGCACAACAGTCAAGTAAGCCGTGCTTGTTTCATTTTAAGCCTGTATCAAACATGGCTGTTAACCTTCTTTTGTCCGGTATTGTAGGTGAGGTGAAACATACACGATTGTTTCACTCATATAACGACGTTCATGAGGTGTGTTTGTGTTTGTGTTTGGTGTGTGCTTGCGTCTGTGTGTGTTAGTGAGTGAGTGAGTGAGTTAAAATTTATAGTCACATCGGCAATATTTCAGCCATATTGTGACTTAAAAAGTTATAAATTAACAATAAACACAATTACATTATAAAACACCTGTCGACGAAGGACAGTAAAACAACTAGATTATCACAGTGATAAATTTAAGACTAGTAATTAAATCTAAAATATGTTACTTTTAAATGACAATACAATATAAAAACCAGCTATAGATTGCCAACAACTGAAGGTAGATCACCATACTAGGGACCATGGGGACTTACAGTACATTTGCTTCCTGCATGGACCCTAGCTGGATTTACACCATCCCTTCAGCCATTAGCAATTTAGCAAATCTAGCCATACATTAAAAGAACAGGTATTCTACGATTAAAAAAGTGGAACGTTTAAATTTACTTCGAATGTTTGGGGACTTACATACCCTCTCAGGAGGACAATAATTTTACAGTACTTTAACCCCCCTCGAGGATACAGCCACTAACAATCTTAGTTACTAATTCAAACTTCCAATCCTAAAATATGTATGTATTTACAAATCATTTAACAAATCTAATTATTTTAAAGATGCAATAATTAAATGAGAACTGATACTATTAAAAAGATCCTTCATAGTTCGTGATTTAAAATATGTATCCCTTGTGATGGAATATTCAACACAGTCAAGCAAGACATGCTTGACCGTGATTCTTTCATCACAAGGGATACAAACTGGAGGATCCTCACCTTTCAATAGGTATTCATGAGTATATCTTGTGTGGCCAATACGACATCGTCGTATGATGACCTCTTCAAATCTGGACTGACAACCCAAGTAAGTGTAACCGATATAGGGTTTTATTCATGTAATTTATTGATACCTACTTGGGTGTCCCACTTCTTCTGCATCAGATCACGGATGTAAGTTCTAATGCAAGCTTTGTAATCAGAGTAAGGAATAAGAAGTGGTGTCACAGATTTATTGAGTGCTGCCTTGGCAGCAAGATCGGCCATAGTATTCCCAGAAATGCCAACATGGCTGGGTAACCAACAGAGGACGATGTTGTATTGGCCAGTTGCAAGATCATTATATAATTCTAGAATTTCTATTAAAAGTGGATGTTTACAAGAAATATGTTTAATCGCCTGAAGACAAGAAAGAGAGTCAGAAAAGATTATGTATTGTTTATATTTAGGCTGTCTATTTATATATTTAAGAGCTGTTAGTATTGCGTTTAGTTTCTGCTGTCATTGGGTAATCTGGAAGATATTGTTTTGGACCCAATGACAGTGTGTGTTAGTGGTTTTGTGTGTGGTTTGTGAGCATTTGTGCTTGCGTCTGTGTGTAAGCATGCGTGCGTACACATGCGTGCGTGGGTGTGAGTGTGCGGTTGTGGTCATGTGTGTGGGTGGTTTTGGTTATGTGTGTGTGATTGTGAGCGTGCGTGTGTGTGCTGGTCTGATGACAGTTCCAGAGTACAAACCCACTGTGATTCCATGGTTCACGTCGACAAGGATAATACAATTATACACACTACACTGATTTTCAGTAGCCAGTCTTTGTCTTATCCTCGCAATGCCGAGTGCCAGGAAGGAGAACTACTACGTTTTTCAACGTAGGAGTTTGACATATATGACTTTCCGATATTTTAAGAAAGGGCAAAGAAACAAGTAATGAAATTCATCGCCATAATCGCACAAGTCGCGGCCGTTCCATATCCTACGTTTTGCAGCCTTATGAAGGTGAGTGTTTACAGCCCAACGCCACATACAGTATTCCTACAAGGCGACAGCGGCCTGTAAACATTTAACAAACCTGACAATCAGGTGACCGATGAATCAGACTTCCACTGGAAATTATAACAGCTAATACTTACATTGATATGCCGCCCGAGCATTTGCACCTATAACGGCTATTGAAACAATACACAATTGCACAATGTCAATAATGAAATTTTGTGAATTCATGTGTTGTGAATCATTAGTATTGTCAACGCGTGGTGTACGTGTCGACTGGGGAATTAGCTCATAATTAAGATGAAGTGTGCGTTGACGAAGACGAAGTAATACGTTGAACTCAAACTTCTTTAGTTACATGACAGACAAATACACAAGACATAAATGTGGTGAGCGGATTACTTGCTCAACCCCAGGGCGTTTCCAACGAGCAGCATTCTCCTGCTCGTGGTCGTCCCTACAGACAGTCGGAATACCGGAATCGTCCTCCTTCACCGTCTAGATGTGAGCATACTAAGTATATATATACAGTTTTTGATACAATGGACAGGCGACGACTCAACAATGGACAGACAGAAAAACAATAGCACTTCCTTGACCAGTTGATGTGATGGCAGACACGGCCAAGGGGATGACCATGTACGTTATAAATGTCATATACAGTAATTAATTGCCTGACAAGTCAATGTACAATGCGGAAGTGATAAGGATTGCATAGAATACAGATTAGCATCATATAAATAATGACAATAAAGTCTCACATGTCTTGACTACATAGTTTTTGACTTTTTAAATATTTGGACGATGGCTGTCCTGAATTAGTCCCTATAACAGTATATTTACATACACGTTATATAAACTTGAGGCTTTTAGACTAGGTATGAAGCTGTATTTTCACATTCACTTCTCGGTTCAAAATGAAAAGAATACGGGCTTTGACATTCATTGTACTTACCTAGGCCTGTCCTGCTTTGACATGTGTAGATTCTCACCAAGGGACAATGTGTGGAGTATATTGTTTTTCTCCATGAGATATTTATCACCCGAGAGCCCTTCAGTGCCATATGGTTGCACCATTAAGCTTGTAACATGATATATTTATATTCATAAGTTGTGTCATGGTAATTACATGCAGGTATAGTGCAGGCATAAACAACATAAACTGCTGCACAAATAGTGAGTGAGGTTAGTTTTTGCCGCACTCAGCAATATCCCAGTTAAATGCAGCGGTCTGTAAATAATCGAGTCTGGACCAGGCAATCCTGTGATCAACAGCATCGATCTACGCAACTGGGATACGATGACTTGTGTCAACCATTCATTCTTGGGGTGGCGTCACTGTTAAGGAGTGTTTAGGGACCGTTGATGATTTTAGTGGGGGTGGGGGTGGGGAGAGGTTCTTTGTTCTGGCAAGGTAGGGGAGGGTCATCAGTTTTGTACACATGTACTAGGGGTCAGTAACATTGTACATAAGTATATTTAAAAGTTAAGCTTAAAATATGGGAAAGGGGTGTGTGACTTAGTTTGTACATAACTTTAAGGGGCACTCACATTGTACATGCTTCTCCATAATAATCATCATCACACCCACAAAATCACAAAAATCATCATATACACCAGCCTGAACTGACAGGCACAAGAAAGTATACACCTGCCTAAGGTGACGTACAAAAGAAAGTATACGCCTGCCTAAACTGACGGGCAAAAAAAAGTATACACCTGCCTAAACTGACGGACAAAAGACAGTATACACCTGCCTTAACTGACGGACAAAAAAAAGTATACACCTGCCTAAACTGACGGACAAAAGAAAGTATACACCTGCCTAAACTGACGGACAAAAGAAAGTATACACCTGCCTAAATTGACGGACAAAAGAAAGTATACACCTGCATGAACTGACGGACAAAAGAAAATATACAACTGCCTAAACTGACGGACAAAAGAAAGTATACACCTGCCTAAACTGACGGACAAAAGAAAGTATACACCTGCCTAAACTGATGGACAAAGAAAGTGCACACTTCGTGTTTGCGGATTATTTAAAAAAACAAAAAAACTACACATTTGAAAAAGTGTTTTAATTGTGACTTATAATAGAAGCGACAAACCCTTTCCACGTCCAGAAGAAATTTCTGCTAAAAGCAGAATCGATTGTACAAATGTGACAGTATCATGAGTATTTGTTTCAGTAGTCACAAACATTGTGAAGGTGATGCCCAAGCACCACAGATATTCTTTACAGTGTTCAATATACAAAATCATGACGCACAGCTCTGTAAAGGATATCATTTTCAAACATGAATAACCCGTCCACAAATAGACTTTAGTACATGAATGTTTACATCAGTTTAGAAGAAGGAAATGTCTATACAACCAAGTGGATTAGATAACAGAGACGTTGAGCGCGATGGTAACGACGTAGCACGGTCCCGACGTCGGATCTCCTGAGCCCCGTTTCTCAAAGCGATCGTAGCGCTACGACAGTCGTAAGTCTATGTTAAAGTATGGGAGTTACGATCATCTTAGCGCTACGATCGTTTTGTGGAACGGGACCCTGGCTCTCAGTCAAATCCCTCTCAACCTGTTCCGTACAGTTTGAGCGGATATCCTCCGAAGTCCAGGCAACCTGGCTGCTGTGCCTTCAGGCGTGGCTTTACGTTCACGCAAATGTAATACCCGGATGTACCG